ATGTATCGTATCAAGACGCACAAAAAAGCCTCAAGAACCCATAGCCTAAAGTCAACAGGAAGTCGGCCATTTTGAATTTTATGGCCATTTTTGGATGATTTACATACTTCGTACTTTAACGAACTCCTCCTAGGGATTTAGTCGGATCGACGTCAAATTTCTGCTGTGCCTTCTAAAGGCATTGACGATGAAAAGTTGTGCTATTTGCGAGTTTTCGTCAATGGGCGTGTCCGTGGCGTCGATGATTCGCAATGAAACAGGAAGTTGTTGTAACTTCAGTGTACATGCTCACATCTGGACCAAACTGTACATCTAGGATGAGAGTCCCGCCCTGAACACATGTACATGCCGACATTCACCCACAGTCATAGCGCCACCTGCTGGCAATAGAAAGTGACCTTTAACGAAGCAGCCCCCGCCGCACGTTTCACCTATGTGCACGAATTTTCTGTGGTACGTGTATCTTGTCCAGACGCACAAAAAAGCCTCTTGGAGCCATAGCCTAAAATCAACAGGAAGTCGGCCATTTTGAATTTTACGTCAAATTTTGGATGATTTACACACTTCGTACTTTAACGAACTCCTCCTAGGGATTTAGTCCGACCGACCTCAAATTTGTGCTGTGCCTTCTAAAGGCATTGAAGATGAAAAGTTGTGCTATTTGCAAGTTTTCGTCAATGGGCGTGTCCGTGGCGTGGCGTCAAAGATCAGCTCTTCGCCATGACACGGAAGTTGTCGTAACTTCAGTGTACATGCTCACATCTGGACCAAACTGTACATGTAGGATGAGAGTCCCGCCCTGAACACATGTACATGCTGACATTCACAGACAGTCATAGCGCCACCTGCTGGCAACAGGAAGTGACTTTTAACGAAGCAGCCCCCGCCGCACGTTTTACCTACGTGCACGAATTTTCTGTGGTACGTGTATCTTGTCCAGACGCACAAAAAAGCCTCTTGGAGCGATGCCCTAAAATCAACAGGAAGTCGGCCATTTTGAATTTTACGTCAAATTTTGGATGATTTACACACTTCGTACTTTAACGAACTCCTCCTAGGGATTTAGTCCGACCGACCTCAAATTTGTGCTGTGCCTTCTAAAGGCATTGAAGATGAAAAGTTGTGCTATTTGCAAGTTTTCGTCAATGGGCGTGTCCGTGGCGTGGCGTCAAAGATCAGCTCTTTGCCATGACACGGAAGTTGTCGTAACTTCAGTGTACATGCTCACATCTGGACCAAACTGTACATGTAGGATGAGAGTCCCGCCCTGAACACATGTACATGCTGACATTCACAGACAGTCATAGCGCCACCTGCTGGCAACAGGAAGTGACTTTTAATGAAGCAGCCCCCGCCGCACGTTTTACCTACGTGCACGAATTTTCTGTGGTACGTGTATCTTGTCCAGACGCACAAAAAAGCCTCTTGGAGCGATGCCCTAAAATCAACAGGAAGTCGGCCATTTTGAATTTTACGTCAAATTTTGGATGATTTACACACTTCGTACTTTAACGAACTCCTCCTAGGGATTTAGTCCGACCGACTTCAAATTTGTGCTGTGCCTTCTAAAGGCATTGAAGATGAAAAGTTGTGCTATTTGCGAGTTTTCGTCAATGGGTGTGTCCGTGGCGTGGCGTCAGAGATCAAGTCTTCGCCATGACACAGGAAGTTGTTGTAACTTCAGTGTACATGCTCACATCTGAACCAAACTTTACGTGCTTGATAACTCTCCCACCCCGCTATGGAGGACCGATCCTGACACAGTCAGAAATAAATACAGAAATAAATAAATGCTCAATAAATAAATAAGCATCCAATTAAATACACAAAAAAATTAAGTAAATAAATAAATGTAGGTAGTAATTAAATTATACAAGGAGACATAAATGTATATATTTTAATTAGTGCCTTTACTTATTCACCTTTGTTATAATTACCTTATTTGTTTATTCAACTTTATTTATTACTAATTTTTTAATGTATTTATTTATGTGTGTTTTAATATTTTTGTCTGTTTTATTCTTCCTTTGTATTTATTTACCTTATTTATTTTCACCCATGGTATTTATTTCTGCCTGTCTTAAATTTTTGTATGCATTTCTGCCTCATTATGCAAATGAGGAGGGGCTGTGTCTCAAGGGGTCATCTTCTCTGCTATTGGTGGACCAGTCAGACAGGAGAGCTCCTACTCTGCCTGCAGACATCAACGATCTTGCCCCTCACACAGTCAGATGGCTTCCTTCAGTGCGCTGAGGTGTTTAACAACTCTGAAGACAATACTACCAGCAATGTCTTCCTTCTCTTTTCACGTAGAAGCACCGACAGACAGTGCTTTCAGTTTGCTGCATGCATGGACACAGAACTGCGGTATAGGGAGAAGCACACGGTCAGCTGGCTGCAGCTAAATCTGGAGTGCACTCGTATTCAATTCTGTATGGTAAATTCAGTTTTAACGGAGCAGAGCGAGCTGACAGGCAGAGTTAGAGACTTTTTCTGTCCGTTTCTCTCTTTACAAAGACGCATGTTGCAGTCAGAGTCTTCTCTGAGATGCGAGCACGACATACAACACAATTTATCAAATTACACAACGGATATACAGTATGAAAATAAGATTGATTGGATTATACTCACAGGAAGTATAAAACCTCTTACATGGGTCTATTAAAAGTAAAGTAACACAAAAATGTCAGGGAAATTACTTTACTTAGATTTAAGTACTGCAGTTGTACATTTGAAATACCTTCCTACCTTTCTGATAGGAAGCCTTCTTGAGGTGGTATAAAACATTTCTTCTTATATTCTGATTTGAGTTGTGGACAACTATGACCACATGAATTAAAAAAACATTTCACTGCCCAAGTCAGCTATGACACAAGTCTTGATCATCAGACTACATGCTGTACAGTATTTGTGGACAGATTTTGTCCCAGGATTTCTTATGCATTTCTTCTTCTTCGTTGCATGATTTAGAATAATAAGGTGAGAAATGGGTCTATTCTGAGTTCATCCTGCACTGCAGCAGCTAATAAAGTCCATTTAATCCCCAAAACGCTTTTCTTTTAGGCAGGCTAGAGCAGAAAACAACTCACCTTTCTCAAGTTGTACAGTAATGTCACATGTGTATGAAGGTGGATCAAACAAGCTAATCTTAAATGTCAAAGTAGAGAGGAGCCTAGTAGGCCTATTTATTTTCATTCATTACACAATATGAATAAGCTATGCAGACAGTTGTAAAGAAAGAACATCTTTTTCTTCTGTTCTCTACTTGTTATAGTTACACAGTATTAGGGGTGTGGGCTGTATTAAAAGTATCTACTGTTCTCCCATGCTCTAACACACAGTAACGATGAAATGTGTGCTGTTCTCACATTCTTCCTCTGTATGTACACATAAACAACAAGGCAGGGAAATATAAAAGGAATTTATTTTATTGTTTGGGTACATTATTGTTCAGTGTACATGCTCACATCTGAAACAAACTTTACGTGCTTGATAACTCTCCCACCCCGCAGACATCTACACGTCAATACCGATTTATATTCATAGCGGCAAGTGCTATGTAGCTCCACATAGGGGACACAGGAAGTGACATATAGCACATTCATGCGGCGTCATAACCGCGTAGGAAATTCACAGCCGCACCGGCAGAGCTCCAGAATATGCAACTCGGCCGGCTCACGCGCGGACGCGCTACTAGTGCGAGGGCCCGCCCAACGCTGCTTGCAGCTTTAATTATTATTATTATTAGTAGTAGTAGTAGTATTAATAACAATACTTTTAGGATAGTATATTTGTTATTATTATTATTATTATTAGTAGTAGTAGTAGTAGTAGTAGAAGTAGTAGTAGTATTAATAACAATACTTTTAGGATAGAATATTATTATTATTATTATTATTATTATTATCATTATTATTATTATTAGTAGTAGTAGTAGTAGTAGTAGTAGTAGTAGAAGTAGTAGTAGTATTAATAACAATACTTTTAGGATAGAATATTGTTATTATTATATTATTATTATCATTATTATTATTATTATTAGTAGTAGTAGTAGTAGTAGTAGTAGTAGAAGTAGTAGTAGTATTAATAACAATACTTTTAGGATAGAATATTTGTTATTATTATATATATTATTATTATCATTATTATTATATTATTAGTAGTAGTAGTATTAATAACAATACTTTTAGGATAGTATATTTGTTATTATTATTATTATTATTATTATTAGTAGTAGTAGTAGTAGTAGAAGTAGTAGTAGTATTAATAACAATACTTTTAGGATAGAATATTTGTTATTATTATATTATTATTATTCATTATTATTATTATTATTATTAGTAGTAGTAGTATTAATAACAATACTTTTAGGATAGTATATTTGTTATTATTATTATTTATTAGTAGTAGTAGTAGTAGTAGTAGTAGTAGAAGTAGTAGTAGTATTAATAACAATACTTTTAGGATAGAATATTTATTATTATTTATTATTATTATAATATTAGTAGTAGTAGAAGTAGTAGTAGTAGTATTAATAACTATACTTTAAGGATAGAATATTTGTTATTATTATTATTATTAGTAGTAGTAGTAGTAGTAGTAGTAGTATTAATAACAATACTTTTAGGACAGAATATTTGTTATTATTATTATTACTAGTAGTAGTAGTAGTAGTAGTAGTAGTATAAATAACAATACTTTTAGGACAGAATATTTGTTATTATTATTATTATTACTAGTAGTAGTAGTAGTAGTAGTAGTAGTAGTATAAATAACAATACTTTTAGGACAGAATTTTTGTTTTCATCGCTGTTGACTGGCTTCCTGTTTGCCCAAGGCTTCATGTCATGTCTACATCCGCGCAAGTTGTGGATGTGAATTTTTTCACCGTCACGCTGGTCTAAAAACGCGCGTGTCCTCCCCTATAAAACTGTAATTGTATCTGTGTGTCTTACTGAGAATATTTAAGTTGAATTAAATCCAAAATCATTTGATGGATTGTTTGTAGATGACTAGAGTATTTTATAGTTCCACCGGGTGGAGCAGCGGAAGGATATTTGACTCGCTGTCTATAAAGTCGGCTCCACCGCTCTTCGTCGCTAAACCAGAGACAGCACCCGGAAAAGACAGGAACAAACACCAGGAACAATTTGTCGGTAAGTAATTGGAGCTTTTTTAAAGCGTAATCAAACTGAGTGGTCTAGCGTTTTCACATGTGTCGATGTATGGCTTTAATCGTATGGCTTTAGTTGTTGGTAACAAAAGAAACTGCAGCTACGTCAGCTGTTTTGGAAGCTAAAGATGCTAACAGTAGCGTGAGGCCCAACGTTAGAAACGTCGCCAAGCGTTTATCACAATCCACTCTATTAAACCAGTAAACAACGAAACATTAACCGTAACAAATGCGAATAGTTCAGGATAAATCAACGGCCGAGTTAACTCCTTGTTGTTGCTATTTTCTTGCGATATCCGGTTAGATTAGCATCGCTAGCATGTTAGCTTCTTCCGCTGTTAGCAAGTTTAGCTGGTCGGACTCATAAAGGAAACGTCTGGTTAGCTGAACGACTAAACATCTTTCTGTTTCGATATGTACACAGTTCCCCCTACCGAGGTTAAGCTGTATTTAAAAAGGGATCTGCTTGTATTTTTCAGGAAGCTTCCAGTAGAGCGTGGCGGGTGTGACCTAATTAATCTGCACCGTCATCTAGCTGTTAGCTACGCTACGCTGCTAGCAAGATGCTTTTCAGTAACCAGAATCAAAACATTTTCTGTCTTAAACTGTATTTTAATTTAATTTCTAATTGTTTTGTCTTTTGAATGCACTTTGTAACCCGACTTACCGCGTTTCTTTCTTATGCTATTAAATCTAAACATAGGGTTGGGCCAGATATGGTAACATTTTTTATTATAGTTTTAAAGTGTTTATGTTCAATATCAATATGGATCAAATGTTGAATCATTTCTTTAAAGGCTGATTTTGTGCTCCTGAGTAAAAGTTGAAGAAAACCTGTTTAACAAATCTTAGGCAGAACATTTAAAACTATAAAAAAATAAAGTCCCTCTTCCTGCTCAAAATGTCTAAATAGAAAATAAGTGCGACATTGTTTAACATTTGAATGTTTTTTTTTTCTCAATAGATTCAAAATGCAGATCTTCGTGAAGACCCTGACTGGCAAGACCATCACTTTAGAGGTTGAGCCCAGTGACACAATCGAGAATGTCAAAGCCAAGATCCAGGATAAGGAAGGCATCCCTCCAGACCAGCAGCGTCTGATCTTTGCTGGCAAGCAGCTGGAAGATGGCCGCACCCTGTCCGACTACAACATCCAGAAGGAGTCCACCCTCCATCTTGTGCTCCGTCTGAGGGGTGGGATGCAGATCTTCGTGAAGACCCTGACTGGCAAGACCATCACTTTAGAGGTTGAGCCCAGTGACACCATCGAGAATGTGAAAGCCAAGATCCAGGATAAGGAAGGCATCCCTCCAGACCAGCAGCGTCTGATCTTTGCTGGCAAGCAGCTGGAAGATGGCCGCACCCTGTCCGACTACAACATCCAGAAGGAGTCAACCCTCCATCTTGTGCTCCGTCTGAGGGGTGGGATGCAGATCTTCGTGAAGACCCTGACCGGCAAGACCATCACCCTGGAGGTTGAGCCCAGTGACACCATCGAGAATGTCAAAGCCAAGATCCAGGATAAGGAAGGCATCCCTCCAGACCAGCAGCGTCTGATCTTTGCTGGCAAGCAGCTGGAAGATGGCCGCACCCTGTCCGACTACAACATCCAGAAGGAGTCCACCCTCCATCTTGTGCTCCGTCTCCGTGGAGGAAACTAATCACTTCCTGCTTGAAGATGTGCCATTTGTTCCTTCTGATCCAGCAGTCATTCCTTAAGTTTCAATAAAGTACAAAGGTGTTCCTGATTTATTCTTTCTTTGACTTTTAATAATTTCACTTTGCACTTTGCTTTAGCTGAAAGTTGGTGTAACTGTCTTTGGCTTCTAGAAGTTGATTGGAGGTAACTTATCTGACAAATAACAAGATGTTAAGATTGATATTTGTGGTTGAAGTGGTCTGATCTGAGACCTGAAATGTTGTTTTTATGACCTCCACAGCTGCTGTAACAAATGTTCCTAACTAATAAAAAGGCTTCTCACAATCACCTGATCCTGTATTATTTTATAGTTTAGAGATTTGGTTATTCTTGCGTGCTTTATCTGAACTTTTAATCAGATTAAACTACATGGCATGAGCTCATGTTTCTTGCAAGTGTATATAAAATTAAACTAGTTGGCTATATGAAACACTAAAAGTAGCCTCATCTTGAACAACATTGTGTCAGCAATAATCAAATTTTTGTAATATTTTGCCCACAATACTTTCAGACATTGTCAATGCAGGGCTGCTGTTTTAAACTGTGATGTTGCCACTTTTTCTTTTATCAGAGCCAGCAAATATTCATTAAGATGCTTGAACCAGTGATTTTTGCTTGATAAATGATTTATCAAAGGTTTTCTGGATTAGTCGTTGACTTCAATTCATTAATTGACTATGAATTGTAGTTTATCAGCTCTTGTTTACCTCCAAAATCCCTTGTTTCAAATCAAACTTCGACAGACCAAGTAAATTAAAGGCAACAGAATCAATATGATGTACCAGAACCTGATAACTCGTTTCACAAAAACTAATTGATCCTGTTCAAACTTTGAAAGCATTTAAATTCATATTCTCTTACAAATAAAACTGCAACCGACAAAAGGAGTCTAAACCATAAAATGTTCTTGAAGCAAGCGTTTTAACAGTAAAAGATAATTTTGTTCAATTACTACTTTAATTAAAACAGTTCAACTGCGCAGCTGGTGGACAAGGTATTCAGATCCTTTAAATAACTAATACCACAGTTTAAAATACTGTTGCATACTTTTACTTTAACATTTTCTAATGCAGGAATTTTAATTGTAAGTATAATCAGCAAAATGTACTTAAATTAAAAGTCACAAAGCGTCAGCTAAAGGAATAAATGCAGTCGCAGTTGTCCAGAGGCCAAAGTGACGCCTTCACAATGCTTTGTTTTGTCTAACTAGCGACATTATTGCAAATAAATTAAAATAATCAAAAAAGAAAATTCATATGTAAATCTTAATTTGTAAAGTAACTGAAGCTGTCAGAGAATATCAAAAGAAAATACTCATGTACCTGAAATTTGTACTTGAGTAAAAGTACTTAATTACTGTCCCCCCTGCTGTTAGGACCAAACAGACCAACAGAAACAGATCTTAAATGTTGTTTTATTACATTTTTCAGGGCTTTACAACCATAACGCAGATACAGCATGATGTAAATCACCCTCGTCTCTAACATTCTTTAAATGCACAAGAAAACAAAAACAAGAGCAAAGATGAACACGACATGATCAACAGTACTGAGGCCTAACACGGGTTCAGAGCAGGGTCACGCATTTACTAGTAACACATTTTGGTTGTTTCTTTGCGGCTATTTATCGTCACTACAGGAAGCTGGTTGGATCCTCGAGGCCTCTCAGTGCTCTGCCAGTTCACAGAGATCCGACCTGAGAGCTGCGATAGTTTTAGTCAGGGGGAGCTTTATAATACAGTGACATTACATTTGATACAAGTCCAATTATGAAGTGTGAAAGAGCACAATCTGTACGCTTGTTCAGCCTGTAAAAACTGGGTTTAAATCAGAGATATCAGGCAGATTATTATCAGTTTGCAACACTTTGCACCTTCCCTGTGTGTGTGTGTGTTGTCAAGCTCACAGCAGTAAACCTGTGTGTGTCTACAGAACGGTCTCGGCACAGTCACCGAAGTGAGCGTGCAGTTTTTGGTGAAACTCTGCTCCAGGTGGAGGCAGGTGATCGGTTGGATGAGGGCAGCGTTGTTGCTTGGAGAAGAGGCCGGGCTCCTCGCGGTCTGACTCCACCTGGATGCTGACCTGGGGCACGGGCGGGCGTGTCGGCAGGTGTGGCGACGGGGCGATCCCGGGGGCGAGGCTCGTCTGGGATTGGGCGGGTGAGGGCGGGCAGGTGATCTTCAGGTGCAGAGTGATGCTGAGGAACAGTGGTGGTTACACTCTTGCCATCTCACACATTTACAGTCAGATGCCAGTTTATTAGGTACACCTGCCTAATGCAGATCTGTGTAGGAGCTGCTTTAGAGAGATCATTTCAGAGGCTGCTGTTTGTATAGCTGCTGAACTAGGTGTTTCTATTATTTTGTCCGCCCTGTTTATATCAGTGAGGGTTGGATATAAATAACAGGAGCAGCTCTCTGTGTAACATCACATACAGTTTAATACCTTCATGAAGGATTTACTGCAAAACCTTTGCATTAAACTGCTTTAGTTTTATGTAGGTGTACCTAATAAACTGGACACTATGTGTACATGTACACATACACAAGCTCAAAAACTGCACAAAGTAGGAGTACTGACACTTTAACATTCATTCATTAAAAAATGTAAAGTGTGCTTTTATGTCTTGCATCTTTGAAGGTGCAGCGTGTTACATGAGGAATGAACCACTTTAATTTGTGTTGGAGAAACAAGAAGAGTTTGGTTGTTTTACGGCCGTGACTTTGACTGTTAAATGACTGTAGAGGGCGCTGTTCACCGCGAACAGCAGGAGGCTGGCAGGTGAAGTGAAAGAGATGAGAAACAACAGGAATCACAAGGGCTTATGGGAAACAAGAGAAACTTTTCACCACTCAGATCGCTGCATGCATGCTTTCTGTTTATCTTCATCGGCACTTAAGCTGCAGCAACTTATCAATTAGTCGCTTCAACTAAAAAAATGAAGCAGCAAGTCTTAATCTTCTCTTTTAGTATTATTGCATGATAGTAAACAATATCTCTCTGGCATTTTACTGACAAAAACAATTATTCTGAGAAATATAATGACGATATACAGTAGAATAATAAGTTGGAGTCAAGACATTAACCCTCAGACTAAAATAATTGGTAGCTGCAGCCCTTAATATCTATCTTAATATTTATTTGACCATTTTGGCTGTTTTAATGCAAATGGTATATAATTTGGCAAAATTGTGAATTTTTGGAATTTTTAAAAAATTTTGATCCCATGTTGCAGAATATATATAACACACACTGTTTAGTGATCGCGTCTGTCTGGGTCTTTATTTCTCATGCAGATTACCATCTAATTGACATTTCTATATTTATTACATGAATATTTTGTATTTTGAACGGTTTGAACCCTGAACCTTCCTGCTGTGAGGCGCCATCGTGCCGCCTCATGTTATTGATATACAAGCTAAAACTGTTTTGTGCTGTAAATAATAAAAAATAAAAATGGAAGCTATAAATGCAGACGTGATAGCCGAGTTTAAAAACAAATGTGTTCGGAAAATATTTCCTCCGCCACATGTTGTCATGTATGAAAAGAGAGATTAACTGTTGTTCTTTAGGTTCACTCATGACAACCGTCTGCTGCCAGGCGTGAGCGGGTAAACGGGATCAGACTTCACGGCGCAGAGAGGCGACAGCAGCCGTGCAGGAAACAAAAAGGGTGAAATGCAAGATAATGCAACATGGTGGCGGTGGCGGCGGCGGCGTGCTCTCCGGTTTACAGAATCAATACGTGTTTTCACACTTCATTCATTGAAGAGAACTTTTCTAAAGAAACAACCAAAATCCTGTCATGATGAATCCCCTGGTCACCATCTGTAACGATGTGTCTTTAAAAACCAGTCTCCAGTGTGTGCAGTAACAACAACAATAACAGCATTAAAGTCTGTTTCTGAAAGGATGGCACTGTTTGAGAGCCTGTTACTACTTTTGTTGCAGTAAAACCGACAGTTGACCGTAAAATCAGTGCGCTTGGATCATTTATTGGGATTATGATAAAAATATATATGTATAAAATAAGAGTACTGTTATCCTGTAAGTACGATAAACAACTGTTACCTCTATGTGTCTCTGCAGCTGAAATTTAAGGAAACTAAACTGATCAGATTTTCTTTATCAAAGCTACAAAAACTCACAAAACAATATTTACAGGCATCAGAATAAAGCTGTGAATCAACTATCCTGTGACACCACTTTTATCTCCAAATGTTGGTGGCACATTTTAGATTTTAACCTCTCACAACTTCTCCTGTGAATAATAAACACTCAGACACTCACACCTGAAGTCTTTGCAATGCATCCAGGTGAACTGTGGGGATTCTGACACGAACATCTGATTCATAGTTTTTCACGACACGTTTTGCAGTAAAGAAATGTGATAATAATAATAATCTGTCTAGATATGCCAGGATCTACATTAAAGTACACGAACAGTTAAAGGACAGAGCTACAGCAGAGGTTTTGTGAGGCGTGAGGTGAAAGGGACAGGTGCATGCAGCTCACGGAGCACATTTAGGTACTTTAAAACCCCTTAGATTGACATAATTTGCGCCAAACATTTTACTCCTCTGTCATGTCTGATCTTACAGACGGATACACATAGTTTTAGATTCAGGGGGACTTAATCTCTGTATCTGAAATAAACGCTCATTAATCTGCTTAATGACAGACAAAAGAGGCTCCTCATAACTGCAGAACGCCCCTGAGAATTAACACTTTTTAAAGTTTTCTTCAGTGTCACAGTAATCCAGTGACGGCTGTCTGTACATCCATGAACACACTGCTAACAGGAGCCGCTAACGGCGACCTCAGCTGCTTATAATGGGGGCAATTTGATGAAATTTAAACAAATATGGGCTGGAGCCCAATATAATTCATGTTTATGTTTGTGTTTCCTAAAGCATTGCGGTTCTGAAACGTAGACTGGTGATGGACTTTCTGAGTTATTTCTACTGTACAGGCCTTTAACATAAAAAACAAAGTAAGAAATCCAAATCAAACATCTAAAATCACACAGGGTGTGTGTTTCTCTGTGTGATTGGTTGTCTGAAAGTGACCGTGCCGTCGTCCCAGCCAGCGTTCGTGCGGGGTGAGTGCATCAGATCACTGAAGGGCACGTGAAGTTTCAGCACACAGTACCTGCGGTCTAATTCGTTTTCTTCGGACGTGACCGTCGAGTACGGGTTCATCTCCTGTAGGGAAACACACGCAAAGAGAAACACATGCACAGAACAACACAAGCATACACAGGCGTGTAAACACATTGTACGGTGCAGCACAGACACAAACACAGACACACAAAGATGATAAAGATGAACAAAACCAATCGAGAAAGAGACCAGTGTCACCATAACAAGCATCTTTAGAGGTTGCTCTGGACCACCTTTATATTTGAACTGTCTGTAATATCGACGTAAACATGTTCCTTGTGTCGTATGAAACAACGCTCTCACTCTCAAGGGGCCACAGATGGACGCGTGCTCGTGGTCCATTGGCATCAGTTTGGAAAGCACCGGGGAGCGACAACGCACTACGCTGAAGGTAGGTGTAGTATATTTAACAGAAAAGTCAGAGTAAGGTGGTGGTCGGGGTGGACGGAGGGCCAGAAAACGGACTCTCAACCAGGAGAGCGGCGTTCGTTTGCCGTGTGAATCCAGAAAAATGTCGGCTGTGTATTGTTCCCGGTAGGCTTTAGCTTCTGTCATTATTTCTTTTCAAGTCAGTTTGAGTCCATTTGAGTCGAGACGACAGCCTGAATACAACCTTCAAATGCAGAATGCATCTGCAAAACTGTCTGCTTCTTTTTGAGATCGCTTTTTCCAACAATTTGACAACATTTTTCCCGGGGAGGGCAGCAACAGACAGCGGCAGCGCCGTGATAAATTGTCTAACAGCTCCGAGTTTGTCGGACTTAGCAACAGTAACTAAGGGGGGGGGGCGTGGCTTAGAGAAGGGTCAATTAACATACCATAAAACTTCAATTAAAAGCAGAGTCCCAAATAGCCGCCTACCCCGTTTACTGGCCTGGTGTGGGAACACATTTAGACAAATAAATGCCTGGTCTGGTTTTTATAGATAGGTCGCCGCTTTAGCTGCTTCTATGTTGCTAAGATCTTTAATACAAATATTAATGTTTAAACGTCTGATCAATGTGTCAGTATGAACATGCGGCACATCGTTAGATTAGTTAGATTCTCCACAATTCAATCGTTCAGTTAATTTAACGGAAACAACGAGCCCCAAAGTCTAATTCTTATAGATTTACCGGTGTAACCTGCATGGTACAAGAGATTAAAAGAAATAAAAATGCAGACTCCCGTTACCTTTGAAGCGCTCGTTAAGCCCGTTATATGTCCGTTCCTTGATTATTTATCTTCCTTTAGTCTGTTAGGGTCCACTGATCAAAACAGCTTTAAATAAAAATGAATCCAAGTTGTGAATCCTGTCATTTGAAGTCTGTCGCTCTCTGTCTGCTAACTTCTCTCATCCTGCACCCTGTTGTTGTTTTCATTACGTTGCTGCCTTCAAAATAAAAACATATAAACCGTCTGTCGGAGCCAGATCAAATGAATGACGTGTATTTGATATTTGATCATTAATATTCTGTTTGATAAATAAATAAACGGTTTCATAGAAGCCTATTTCAGTTTTGTGCAACAGGAATTAAAGGCCAGTCCCATATGGACACCTGTCCCAAATATAGGCAGGGTCAAGTCAGTGATTTTAGCAAATAAAAGCCCTGGGCTATTACTCAAAGTTTGATGGTAGTTATTTTCACCCAAACCATGATCTTTTCCTAAACATAACAGAGTACTTTTTGGGGCTAAAAAACCAAATTGCAACGTTTCACAATGTTAACGACGTGCTGTTTGAAAATTGTGACATTTCGCAACTTTAACAAGTACATTTATTTTGAAACTGTAACCAGATGTTGCATATTTATTGTTGCAGGTGACCACAGAGCCATACACGTGCAAAAACGATACGAAGCGTCCATAAGTGACGAGTTGGGAGTGAGGATGTGTTTTAATAAAGGAAACCTCTGGAGTTTGTAACGCTGTGGAGCAGCTTTGCCCTCTGAAATTTGCTGACCTCTGTCCTTGAAATGTTTTAAACCCCCATGAGAAGAGTTAAAGGTGCACTTCTGTTTTGCTAACAAACATCTGATGCCCGGGATTCTCTCTAGACAAACACAAGTACGCAGTGGAATATCATGATTAACTTAAAATTCATGTAAATTAGATAGAACTCACAGTCACATTATCACATTATTCATGGTCAAGAGCAACTTAATCTGTCACATTTAGTAAATGGCATTAAAGATTTAAAAAACTGGCACAACGACAGGTGGAGGAAAGGGCTGGTGTACTCACAATCTGAGGTTTGGTTTTGGGTGGGAGGGTTAACACAGGCGGGGACCGGCTCTATGACCTCCATGTGGATCTTCACTGGAGGGACAGAGCTGTTGGTCTGAGTGACAGAAAGAGGACGTAGTCTGCATGCAGGACAAACTGGGATTTTAAAGGATAAGACTACATTTATTCTATATATTTGTGTCACAGCCAGAAACTATTAAACTATCAGTGAGCCTGGGTCACATGTTCCTTCATCACCGTGAACACACCGTAGTTTATTCTGACTGCCCCAAATCCTCGCTACAGCACACGTGTGGATTCATCCGCCGCTGAAAATAGTCCCCAACAAATGCACTATTTCTTTCTGTTTGTCTGATAGAAACTTTTCGAGCAGCTGTTTGAGGAAATTACCGAGCCTTTTAAAACGTTAAACTATATATTTGTGAGGAGAGCTCGGAGCTGAAAGCCACAGACAGGAAGTCAGACAGCACTGAGAGACGGAGTAAAGGCCGGGCCACGCCAGCATTTAAAACAGCGTAAGCGTGACAGACCTGCAAAGTTCACCTGTATTTAAAAATAAGTTGTCTTTTTCCTTTAATGTAAAAAAGCAACTTGTGGCCGCCACTTGTTTATCTGTTCTGGACTACGGGGATCTTTTAAATGTCCATACTTTAGCACCGAGTCTTCATATGGTTGACACAGCTTACCACGATTCCTTGAGGTTCATAACCAATTGCAAAGCTCTGACTCACCACTGTGAGTTCGACTCTCAGGTAGGAGGTGCTGCTCTGGCCACACATAGACTCTGTCATTGGTACACCTTTATATTTAAGGCAGTTCTTGGTCTGCTGCCACACATGCGTTCTTATCACGCAGAAAAGTGCCGGACAACGCTCTTGTTTATGCTTTCTTTGCCAAAAAACCCGTACTTAAACTGGAAAAAGGGCATTTATGTATTCTGCACCCTCAGCATGGAATTAGGGCTGGACAATAAAACAATAACAATAATCAAATCGAATTATAATTTTTTTCAATAACAATATAACAAATGTTCAATAAATATTCAATAAATGTTTTATTTTATTCACTTGAATCGTACACGAATTAGGACTTCATTTTTCTTATTAAGATGTTTATTCTGTTGAGGAAAAAGGACTGAAAAAGGTTTTACATTAAAGATATTTGTTAACTAAGATTTTATCATAAATATTTTGAATGTGAATCTCAGATTTGTGAAGTGATCCACTGTTTGACATCAAGTGTTGACCATAAAGAAAAGTTTAAACCGCAATTAACCATCTGGTTTCTTCAACTTTCACTCAGGAGCAAAAATCAGCCTTTAAACATGAAAGACAAAACTATTTGATACTTATCGTGATAATTATCGATATCGAAAGATATGAAACTTTTTATCGTGATAACATTTTTGGCCGTATCGTCCAGCCCTACATGGAATACGTTGCAGAAGGACTTGAAACTCAATGAATTAACCTCGTTAAATGCTTTTAAATCCAAAATAAAAGAATTAGAGGCAGAGTCCTCAATACGTAAATGTTTTTAAATTGTGAATCTGACTCTTTTGAAATGTGAGTCATTTTTATTTTATTTATGCTGCTGCCTGTCTTGTCCAGGCTGCACCTAATTGCAAAAGAGATCTCTATCTTAACGGGACTTCATTTTTAAATTAATATTTAAAAATATTAATTTACGATAAATATATGGCGTGAACCACAAAACATGCTGTTCAAAAGCTGGACCTTTTGGTAATTAGCGTTGTTGCGAATGTAACGGGAAGTTTTTCTTACTTCTGGAACAGAACGTGGCGCCTCCACTTCGGCTCTCTTTGGCTAGCATTTAGCTCGCCGGTTACCGTAAGTTACCAACTGGTCCTGTTAGTTCTCGCTACAACACAAACATCCGCTTATCCTGCGTACAGGGTCGCGGGGGGGCCGGAGCCAATCCCAGCTTACAACACAAACATATTTATTACACAAGGATTCGTTTCACTCTCTGGTGCCACCCAACCGTAAATCGCGGCCGGATTTGTTGACAGAAATATAGAATAGCGCTAGCCTTATCCTTCAAAATCAGTGGACAATCACAGTCCTCACGCTACTGCCAAGGAGCAGCTTCAGTTCTTTTCTTTTGGCTGAAGACATGACGGGCACAAAGATGCTAAAACACTGAACAACTCATCTCTAAAGTGGTGGAACACAGTGGGAGGGCTGAAAGGAGGACGGACAGACAAAAAGACTGTAGTAAGTGTTGTACAGTGCCTTTTCAGCAACACTGTGGGACAGAGAGGAGAAACATACAGTACAGTATTAGTCAGAGAAAACAAACCCGCGACACACCCACAACAGATGGAGTGACATTTAAAGCACCAAGAAAAGAGACTCGCCAGCTTTGGAGATTACAGCAGCTGTGTGTTTGGCAGGCAGAATGTGCAGAGTAATCTCGTGTTTGATTTCATGTTTGTGGACAATTTCCCTCACCTCCTCGTCGCTCTCCGGCTCTGCCGCCTTCTTCTCCTTCTTCTTCTTCTTCTCATCCTCCTTCTTCTTCTTGTCTTTGTCTGGCAGGATGTCGTCCAGCCAGGCCAAGTCGTGTTGCGAGAATATCAGATCCAGCAGCTTCCGGACGAGCATCAGACCCAGAATCTACACACAGAGGAATCAAACCGGTGGATAAAAGAAGCCACCGCCTCACTCTGCCTCTGAACGTTGGACTCAAGGTGCCGGAAATGTCGACTTAATATCGCGACACAGTTTACCGCACATAAAGTTCAGGAAAATACAGGTTTCCATCCAAATGTAGCACAAACGTTAACCGAATTTCAGAAAGTCGGCAAACGAAAATGCGACTTTGGCTCCATCCCCTGCCGCTGTGAGAACATGACTGATGGCGATAAACAGCGGGTGGATCGCTGCCGTTAAACCATCGCAGAAGAAGAGGACATAACGAGGTGACGTCTTTAAAAAAGCTGCGGTCAAAGCTCAAAATGAAGGAAAACGATCAGACGTTTCTTTTAGCTTTATGTGTTAAAGTGATGAAGGCTACCGTAACCCTTGAGCTGATGCATCGAGACGCTTCGAGATATAGAATCGAACCGTTGACCTGAAAATCATAATCGAAACAAATCGTGAGACCAGTGAAGATGCACAGCTCTAGCATTAATGCACATAGTCTGTTTCTTTCACACTTATTTTGCTTTTTATTGATAGTAGCAAACTGATACTGACGTCAGATATTGGGCCGATACGGACTCATAATAGCTGGATCAGGTATCGTGACAAGGGGCCCGATCTATTGTATGTAATTACAAGCGTTTTGCAGTTGTGGTGGCTAATGTCACTAAGGTGAGAGCAGGATCCAGAGCATTTAGTTATCAAGCGCCTCTACTATAGAACCAGGCCCCAATTTGGGTTTGGGAATCTGACAACATCACTTTTAAGGCTAGACTTAAGACTTTCCTGTTTGATAAAACTTTTAGTTAGGGCTGGAATTGGGCAAACTTTAAATTATTAACCCGTTTTTTATTATTTTATTTTGCTGATTTATTCTGATTGTATTTTATCTTGTGTTTTATCACATGGATTTTTTTTAAATTCCAAAGCATTTTGTAAAGTGTAATGGGACCATGTCTTTTGGTGATTTTGCACTTTAAATAAAACTTGATTCACTGATTGCTTTTACGAGACGCGTCAGCAGTGCGTCAGTAGACCCGAACATCTTGCTAGGAGAGCCAACATCGCATTTTGTTTTACTAAGTTAGGAAGTAATGTCAAGCCTGATGTTACATAAAAAAGAATAATCCCCGGCCTCTTCTCACAGTGAGCAGCTCGTTGATTTTACGATACTCGTCACCAGCTGCAACCCAAAGCCCAGCTATTGGTATTGGGACTGAAAAAGTCGGATTGGTGCGTCCCTCATTGATACACAAACTCTTCTACCCTTAGCCAAACTTAAAAATGTATTTATGATATTTAGATTTTTAATTTTAATGTGCAAATAGAAAATTAAATAAAACACAAAAAAGTCAATGTATTAGCTAAATACTTAGCTCAGTAGCTAAGCGTGCCTCTTTTATGTTTAGACAAAGAATAGGAACACATCCCTTTGTTCTGACTTGGGAGCATTAACTATTCACTAGCCTAATAAAAAGCCTTAATGAGCCTTTTTTATTCTGGTACATATGTGGAGCAGTTTGTTAACACGTGACACCAGATAAAAACGATGTGTAGCAGAATCGACTGTAACTGACGTCCACTTTGTTGACACTTCTTTTGTCAAGTTACAGATATCACAGCTGTCAGGAATGTCTCAGACTCTGAATTACAGCTCGGAGGCTGATGTCAATGTTTTTTCCTACTTGGCTGCTCATAATTATGGTTCCCTGGACATGAAAGGAATGTGGCATTAGCTGTAAAGTTGATTGTTGTTCACTTATATTAGGACTTAAAATGTTTCGGCTTAAAGTGTTTTGGTCCTTACGTTAGTTGATAACACATTCACAGTCAGCCATTTGTGACTGTATTTCCTGTCCTTTTTCTTCTATTTAGTCAAAAAACATCCCAGCAGAAACCAATAGATAACGTCTGCTGGTGGTCACATGGCAAAAGAAACCAGGATTGTTAGACCAGGACACAAACAATGTCCAACCACCAAACCCCTCAGTATCTTCATCAAACTAAGATCAACCCTAAATGTAATAAAACAAACATGTTACTATCTGATATCTTGATAAATACCTCAATCAAAAGACCAATGAGTGACCGAGATACAGGATAGTACACTTACCATTACTGGGAAGATGATGGCCAGGAAGGTGGACTTCAGGATCCAGAGGACGGCCAAACAGACGATCTGGACGATGGTGAAAAGATGGACGCGTCTCAGAGGAACGTGACGCAGGAAGGAGAAGTCCGGCTGGTGTTTGGCTGGCATCAGATACAGCTTCATACGCTCCCAGAACTGAAACACAAAGACGCAGAACGTGTCCTCAGGTGTTCTCAGTCAGAAGTTTAATTATTCAGAGCACTTGTTTAGAGCTGAAACCCTCAATACATTTATTAGTTGAGTTGATCGACAGACAGCTGTTTTCATAATAATCATAGTTAAGTACTTTTTCAGGTAAATTTGCCAATAATCTCTTCGTTACAGCCGTTTAAATCGTAATAAGATGTTTAAAAACTGGACATACTGTATGTATTGACCTCAAAAATCCAGCATCAGTAAGCCTCAATGTTAAATATACTGTAAAACTTCAATTAGAAGCGTAGTCCCAATTAGGCACCTGACCCTTTTACTGGCCTGGTGTGGCTGCATGTTTTGACAACCCGCTCTCACTCCCAGCCTCGTCACATATGGGCGCATGGTCAAGACCCATTGGCATCAGTTTGTAACACATTGGGGATCCCTAGCGTCATAGCTCAACGCAGTGGGGGAAGCCCTGTAGCGTCAGTTTTTGACAGTAAAGGTAGGTAGTAAGGAGGTGGTTTGGGTGGATGGAGGGCCAGAACCCGGACTTTAAACCAGGAGTCCAGGGTTCTTGTCCCGTGTGAAACAAAGAGTCAGCATTAAATATTTTTATTTAAGTTAGTCTACGTGAGTTACGTAAAGTAAGTTACGCAAGTGACGTTAACTTACGTATTAACTGACGTACGTAGTTATTTTAACCCAAACCATGATCTTTTCCAAACCTTAACCAAATAGTTTTGCTAAACCTAACCAAACTGAAGTGTTTCACAACTTTAATAATGTGATCTTTCAAAATGAAACTCTAGCGTTTTATTTTGAAAGTGTAACCGGACTTTGCATATTAATTGTTTCTAACTTTACCGGACGTTGCATATTTGTTGTTGCTAAGCATTGCTAACTTGACACCGGAGCATTAAACGTCGAAAAATGACGTTTAATGTGTACCCAGGGCGTTAACCAAAGGGCCTTGACCAAGCGTCAATATGTGACGAGTCGGGAGTGAGAACACGTTGGTTTTGACAAATAAACGCAGGTCTCAATTAGAAGCCTGGTCTGGTTTTAATAGAAGTTCTTTATATATAAAACCTCTTAAAGTACCTGCTCTCTCTCTTCTCTCTGTCTGTCTCTCAGAGCTACAGCAGATGAAATTAATTGATAGTAGTCATGCTGGTTGGAATAAACAATTTGATAGTAGCTTATTTCTTTGTTGAGCAAGAATTTTGTGGGAAAGGAATTAAAGGCCTGTCCCAAATGTAGTTAGTGATAGTATATAATTCAGTGACTGAAGCAAATAAAAGCCTGGGCTCTAATAAGACAACACGGATATATCATCTTTGATCTACCTGGATGCCACTCAGTGATGCCACACCCATGTAGAGGAACACTCCATACAGGACTGGCATGGGGATGTACTGAATTAAACAGAGCAGCAGTTAAAATACAACATTATAGGTGAAAAGCAAATCAAATGATGAAAAAAAAAGAAACATCACATTATCTTCCTTGTTCGTTGCTGGCGTCTGCTAACATACCTGGAGAACGGGAGCGAGGAAAATTGAGAGTCCAGTCATAACAAACACCAAAATGCCCGTCAGCCTCTGCTCCCTACCAACACAGAATTATATGGTGTTAAATTTATATGTGGTGGAAATTATTTACCCACACACACAGTCTCAGGATAGCACAGGTGTCATTTACACTGGGGACATGTCGCCTCCACTTTTTGAAATGGCTGATTAAAGTACAATTTGTTAAAAAAAACGCTCTGAAATATAGCTTATAGTTAAATAACAAATGAAAATGCATTTAGAAAGGCTTGTAAATTAAGAAAACAATGAAATGCTATTAACATATAGAAGAAACAAATGTGCATTGTCCAAAAAAAGTAACTTATGCCAAAACAAACAAGTTACTGATTATAAAATAAACGGGCATGCACCAATCAGCAAATTTAACAACTTCTGGACACAGTTTCTTTTTGGCCACGTTTTCCGTTCTCTACCTGTGAACATGACAAAAAGAGGAGGACAGACTAAATCATGCCTACATATGTGTTGCCTCAGCAGGGATGATGTTAAATGAGAAAAGTATATTTACAGAACAAACACATCTGAAAGCTACACAAAATGCCTGAAAGCTGCACTGCATTTGACTCTATTATATTTATATATTTTGAAACGTCACGTGCACCTGAATTTTGTGTTTCCTTTTCCAAAAATAAAAACATTTCCACCATAAATTGGTGCAGAGACTTTCACCAGAATGCAGGAAATTAAGTGTGTACAGATCAAAATGTCCTGGGGGAGCTCCCCCTAGACCCTCCGCTCATATATGCTGGCATTGAGGATATCTTTAAAACACTGTTTAAGGATCTTTGTCTCGTTCTCGTGAACCTTTCCAGAGGTAAGTTTCTCTTCACACCCCTAACCTGAGCCCCTATGTCCCCACCACTTTTCAACACAAAGTGACGCCCTTGCAGGATAGTCTCACCTCACTCCGAGGAACTGTGGCTGCTCTCCAGGAGCGCTGGACTCGCTCTCCATTTTCAGAGAGTCGATGTGAGCGATGGAGATGACAGTAGCTGCTACGTACCAGGGCAGACCCAGGAAGGAGCACACAGCCATCAGCACACCCACCCAGAACAGGTCCAAGTGGTAACCGCAACCTTTCTGCAGTTGGGTAGAAGGTCAAAAATCATTCAAGTCTAACCACGATTGTAGCAATGAACAATTTCTGAAAATTGGACTAATATTTAATTTATCTAATTTTTGTACTAATATTTAAATTGTGATTATTTTTTGAAAAATTAAAACTCCAGTTCTGTATTTGGTAGTTGACATCAACAAAGCTATAACATAGCCTTATCACAAATTTATCTTGTTTCTACATTAAGTAAGAATTAGAGTATTGCAGTTTGTGGAGAACCGCAGATCTCAAAGTGGGATCCGGGGGACCCCCAGGGGTCCTTGAGGGGGTTCCAGGGGGTCGCCGGCAAAAAGGGGAACAACTTATTTTTACTATTGACATAAGGTATGACTAGTTTAGACGTGGATTTCATACACTTTCTTTTCTAAAATATACAAAATTCTATCAGATGGGTGACAGTGGGACATAATCTTCAAATCAAATGGGGGACTGCTGTGTAATTTGTGACAGTTTAGAGGTCCTCAATGTAAAAAAGTTTGAGGTGTAGAGGACCTCCTAGGGTGCTTTCATACCTACACCTGCATTTGAATCAAACACTGGAACATTCGTTTGGACAGGTCGAAAGCAAAATGCAGCAAGGTCCAGACCAAATTTAGGTTTCTTTATATTATATCTTTTTCTTCTCTGAGAAAAGTTAAATGTTAAGTAACTCTAAAAATGTTTGCACTTTTAAACAATTACATTAGTAATCCACTTAATATTACACACATAATATTAAAATTTAATTTACATTTAAAAGTGATGTTATATTTACTGATAACAGTTAGCAGGCCAGTTAAGATAATAAAGACAACTGACACATTTAAAATGGGTTTCCTGTAAAATAAGCTTGTTTGGGTTTATGTATTTTGAAGCTTTGTATTTCTTCTGAGAATGTCCTGTATTTTCAGACCTTAAGTTTGTTTTCCTTGCGGTTGACTATGACAGCGCTGATCTGCTGGTCCATGAAGATGAGTATGGTGACCAGGAGTGCAGGAACAGAGCTGGCCAGGTACCACCACCAGGGGTTCTTACCAAATGGCATCACCAACCAGCCACGATCAGGACGAGTTGGCTGATCACACATACACACACATAATGAAAAATATATATAGTAAATATATGCCAAAGATAAAAAGGAGAGAAGGTGACTGCACACATCCATCTTAAAGAATCAAATGCTTTACATCTGCACTAATAAAACAAATTAAAAATCTCAATTATATAACTAGTTTAACAACTTTATATACAGCTAGCTAGTTTTAGCTACTTTATATACAGTTAACTAGTTTTAACTAATTAATATACAGTTAACTAGTTTTAACTACTTTATATTACTATGGACATGTAAATGCAATAGACTGGGGGAGCTATTTCACTCATTGTATTTGAATAAAGTCCAATATAGAGCAGACTAAGTCTTTGAAAATGAAATGTCAAATGCTCTTCTCATTTTCATTGTTAGGAAATGGCATTTTAATTTTAATTTTGACCTTAAAAGACCATGAGGACATGGACATGTAAATGCAAAAGACTGGGGGAGGTGTTTTGCTAACTGTATTTGAATAATGTCCACTTGAGAGCAGGTTAAGGCTTTGAAAATTGAATGTCAAATGCTGTATTTTCATTTTAATATGGTCCTAAAATGCTCACACAAGTATGTGATAATGAAAATGAAAATTGGATGATTGCATTTTCATTTTTACCTAAATAACACATACATATGTGGAAAATGATAATGTTATTGTGGGATTACATTTTCATTTTTAAGTTTGCGTGATAATTTGAAATTAGTCCTCTATACGCTTCCATAAGTTAGTTAACTAGTTTAACTTTAAATATAGTTAGCTAGTTTTAACTACTTTATATACAGTTAGCTAGTTTAACTACTTTATATACAGTTAGCTAGTTTTAACTACTTTATATACAGTTAGCTAGTTTAACTACTTTATATACAGTTAACTGGTTTAACTTTAAATATAGTTAGCTAGTTTTAACTACTTTATATACAGTTAGCTAGTTTAAACTACTTTTATACCGTTAACTATTGTTAACTACTTTATATACAGTTAGCTAGTTTTAACTACTTTATATACAGTTAGCTAGTTTAAACTACTTTTTATACCGTTAACTATTGTTAACTACTTTATATACAGTTAGCTAGTTTTAACTACTTTATATACAGTTAGCTAGTTTAAACTACTTTTTATACCGTTAACTATTGTTAACTACTTTATATACAGTTAACTAGTTTTAACTACTGTATACATTTAGCTAGTTTTAATTACTTTATACAGATAGCTAGTTTTAACTATTTATTTTTACCGTTAGCTATTAGTTATTGTAAAATCTTAATCTTAAAAGTAAATCGGAACCATAGCTGTCAAAGTAGTAGTAGTATGAGTAGAAATAGAATGTAAAGAAAGTACACTAAGGTACAAGAACCTCAAAGTTATAAGTACAGTGCCTGAGTAAAAGCACTTAAGTACTTTCCACAAGAAAAACACACACACATGCAGTAGGGCAGTAATATGTTGTAATGACACACACATTAAAACAGAAAAATCTAATTACCTTAAACTCAGTAGGAACGATTAGTTTGGGTGTGTCTAACCCCATCAACATATCCAGACCCACAAAGGACATGATTGACATGAAGATTGCAAAATCACTGATTAGCTTCCTCAGCTACCAACACACACACCAAGAGAAAGGGAGGACAAACAGTGAGGAGGGGAGACATATGTATGTACAAGAAAAAAGTGGAAATGAAGACAGGACAAAAAAAAAGAGAAGATATACTCTGTAAAATCATTACATTGACAAATCCACACTAAATCAATGACTGATTAGAAATGTATAAAAACTACATCATTGGGAGGGAAAGAAAGATGAAAGATGAAGGCGGCATTTTAGGGAACAGTGGACCTTGATCTCAGTGGGCACAAGTAGTTTGGGGGTATCGAGCTCCAGCAGGCAATCCAGTCCACAGAAGATCAGGATAGAAATGATGATGGCAAAATCACTTATCAGGCTACGGAGCTGGAGCACATTCAGGGAGAGCAGAGGAGAAGACAACATGGTAGAGGACATTCTGGTACAGATACAGAGGTTTAAGCTTTGGATAAGGACAAGGAGAAGTTTCCTGCAGATATTCAGTAGCTTTAAAGGATGAAGCTGGAGATATTCTTCTTTTTATCGGCAACAAAACCGTGGTAGTTTTTAGCAACAATACGCTTTGTTGGATTGTGTATGTTGGATTTAGTATTAATTAGCAAATATAAGTATATACTCTAAAATGGTGCACTTATTGAACATTACAGCAGAATGTTAACTTTGTCATTGTAAGCATGTTAGCATGGTGGCATTAGCATTTAGCTCAAAGAAGTGTATTTTTGTAATCTGAGTTAATGAGTGATAAAGCTTCCCTTGGTGTTAACCACACAGTTCACAGAGTAAAATACCATGCTATAAATTTGTAGGTAATGCTATTTTACTGATGAGCAAATTAAGTTTTCTGCAATGTTACTATACAATACTAATATATATATATATCTATATATATAGATATATATTTTAGAAAGCTGATCAATATTTGATCGCAAACAGCTGGTTTGGTCTTCAATTAAATAAGATAATAATTAAATAATATTGCCAGCCTTCTCCTTTATATTGGAATGTCTTCATGCACACATTACAAGAGTCTAGCATTTCACATGCAGGTTTACTTTTCTGTAGGGTAAAGCCATTGTGGAAAAACAACGTACAAGTCTTTGAATCTTATCTACTGTCTTACCTTTGTTGGAAAGTAGCGGCTAAACTTGAACTTCTTGAGAGAAACAGTCATGGAGTAGGTGCCAAAGAAGAGGATGAAGGACATCAGGGCCAGGTCAGGAACATACTTACAGGAGTTCCCCATCAGCATACCACCGTACTTCACACACTCTTTCTTACTGAGCTGACTCCAGTCCAGGTCTGTCAAGTTAAACTGCAAAGATAGGATGGAAGGGGGGAAGAGGAAAGTGGGAGAAGATGGGCGACAGGGTGGGATGGAGGGGTTCAAGACGGGGTGGGGAAGGTGGGAAGCAGGTCCGAGAAGGGAATATCGAAAGACGGGTGGAGAAGAAGCAGACACGAAAAAGAGAAAAGACAAGCGATAACAGAAGAAAAGACAATACAGAACACGGGGACTTCCAGACTCGTATTTGTCAAACATCTCAGAGTCAATCCTAGTAATCGCACTAAAAGTTGAAGAAGAACTTCCTACACTGACTTTCAGCGTGATGTCACCAACCTTCAGTGCCACAGAATAGAAATTTAGACCAGTTATTGTGGTTTTCCTTTTTTTTTTGTATTGGCACTTGTGATTTTAGCGTCTGGTTTTTGAAGGTAACTTTAGGCCTGTACAGTGTTTTAATTAAGACCAAATGTGGACCCTTCAACATTTTGTCAGCGTGTGGTAACGACCTTTTGGTTGCGAACAAGGATCAATTTAACCAAACGGGAGAGTCTTCTTCTGCAGCATGCGTTCTCAGTCATTTCTAAAAATGATTCAGTTTTTTGTCAAAACTATCTTTTAATAAGCTCTTTGTCATCCAATGTTGCCAAAACATCTGTCCTCACACCATCTCCTGGCAGCTATGAACAAGGAGCTCCACTAACTATCAGCAGAGACAGGTGATAAAATACTTTTACTCCTACTTCTAAAAGTATGACAAATACTGCCTCACTCAGAGGTCTAATTTCCTACCCTGAGATGCTTAATAAATATGGGCCAGGTTTCTGTCAAACTACCGCTTCAGTTCATTACAGTATAAAACATTTACAATACAAACCCCCAAACAATTAGAGATGCAACTTAAGTGCAATTTTGGCAGTTCACTTCACAAAGAAGGATAGAAAGGATTCATGTGAGGGATGTTTTCTGTCTTTGGCACTTACCAACAGAGTCATATTATCATCTGCGAGTGGAGCTGAAACATTCAAGCCCAGCACAGATGCTAAAGAGCAAAAACACAAGAGGGAGAAGACGGAAACCCAATGAGTCATGGGTAACATGAAAATCCAGTGGAGTGTTTGCTATGAATGAACCAGAATCAAAAAGAATGACTGATGTGAATGAGCCGTAATATGTCACAGCATGTATGTTGATGAACCATGTTGGGTTTTAAAGGAATATTTTTATTAATTGTTTTTTGTATCAAATACTGACTCTCTGCACGCTGGCTCTGTAGCTGCTCCATTGTGCACGTTTGGATTGAAAGCTTTTTTACTTTTGTCTGGCCTCTTCTCTCTGGTTTGAAGACTCAATTGGAAAATAGTTTGTGCAAATTAAAATCTGATGACACCTTCGAGCAAATCTGATCAAACCACACAGTCCTGATGAAGCAGTTTTTTAGTGTTAAAGGCCGTCCACATTAACAAGAATAACTATAAAATCGAGAACGTCCTGTAATGTGTGGCCCCATGCACACACTGCGCGCTCCGCCTGCGTAGGAAAATGGATTGATGACATGTTACAGCTGTGCATTGCGCAGAGAAACATAAAGAAAACCAGAAGGATATCGGTTTGTGAAATTCTTCAAAGACAAGAAGAGGTAGGAGAATCCAACACTCTGTTACGAGAGATGTCGTCGTTGAAGACACATTTTATTCTTACACATGGCATTCTGGTAATCTTCAAAGAGGACATCAGTAATGACCCTATGAGACCCCAACGCCAAAGACTGTGGGGGGTATGTCTAAGGTAAAATTATTTTGATTTTCTGTCAGTGTTTCTATTGTTAATTTACATTATATTTGAGTTAGAACAATTTTAAATATTATTTATTTATAGTTATTGTTATAGTTATCGCTCTTAGTGTGGTCTGTCTTTTAACCTGTTAATAACACTCACTAAGGATGCTGACCTTTAAATTTAACTGTTGCTTAGTTAGGATATTTAATGTTCTAAAGGAATACTTAAGATCATTGAAACCTTTTTGACATTTTCAGTGCCCTACAGATTTTCAGACAGGCAGTGAGTGTTTGCTAAAAGCACATCTTTGGTGGAGTATTCTTCTAATTAAGTCACTTAAACATTGTTCAAACATGCTCTACCAGAGTTGACATGTGCGTACTCACTTCATCAGACAGCATCCCAAAAATGAGGCAGAAACAGACAAGATACACAAATCATCACAGAGTAAAGAACAAACATTTTTGCATCTAATCAAACTGACAAATCCTGTAGCTGTTCATGTCAAATTACGTCACGTCATTAATAGAACAGGTTGACATTTTGTGAGACACTTATTCGAAATGAGAAAATTAAAACCAATCCTGGAGTCACAAATTGGTTAGCCTAGCTTAGCCTACAGATTGGAAGCAGGGTTCAAAATTCAAAAATACACAAAACATTTATTCTTAGGATCAAAGCACCTCTTAAGCTCACTAATTAACAAGAATATTATTTAAATGTTTCCATAAACAGGAATATAAAACTAAAATTTGTGGTTTTGTAGCTGTTTTGTAACTAGAACTTCACAGCAGAACAAACTGGCTGTTGTTCGCCAATCATGTAACATGATTTTGTTTGTAAACCACAAACTGTCATTTTTAAGTTTCAGGTGGGGTACGACTCAAACAAACGAGAAACCATGTTTTAATTAGTGAGCTTTAGAGGTGTACTTCTGTACTTTACAAAGCCAGGCTAGCAGTCTTTATGCTAAGCTAGGCTAATCACGTCCTGACTCCAGCTCCTTAGTGCACAGACTTGAGGTTGATATCCATCTTCTCATCTCACTCTCACACAAAGCAAACTTTTTAACTATTCCTAGTAGTATGGTGGGAAATGTCTCTAACAAGCTCCATCTCTAAATAAAGTTATTCCAGAACATGTAAAACAACAAAACAAGAGTTTGACGGCTCACCCTGGTCTGGTGCGATGCATTCGCACTTATAGGCAGTGATGTAGTCAGGTTTGAAGCCACGGTTGATTGGGTAATACTTCCAAGCTCCAACCTGTGAAATACAGCCAGTTTTATCTTGTGTTAAGTGTTGTGCAGTTAATTTGTAGATCTTGAGCTTGTGTCTGTGTGAAAGTGTTCGTCCGTTCCACGTGACAACATGTTATCTACCATCTTCTTAATGGCGTCAGAGATGAATATGAAGGAGATGAGGCTGGAGAAACCCTCCTCTGTGAAGCGGGTCATGTACTTGATAATGTAGCTGGCGTCTGAGAGCACCAGCAGCAAACACTGCAGACAAGAGTGAAGGCCAATCCACAGACGCAGCTCCATGTAGTCTATATCATTGCTCCTGTGAAGAGAGACAAGTGCTTACATCACCTATCTGGTTATTTGTGCAGTTCACATTTGGGTGCTTTCTCTTGTGCGCGTCTTACTTGCTGAATTCATAAAGCAGTTTCTCAAAGATGAGAATGGGTCCAGTTGAACTGAGGATGATGAGAGGTTGCCCACCAAACAGACAAAAGACTGTCCCTGCTAAAGCAGTGCCAAGGAAACTCTCCATCACGCCCTTTGGAAAAGATCAGGAACAGACAGAGACGTGAGGTCAACTGTGTACATATTCTAGGTTTGTGCATTATGTAGTTAGGGGTGTCACGATTCTCCAAATCAACGATTGGAGTTTTGATTTAAACATTTTCTTCAGCATCTCCCAGAGCAAATAAAATAGTGTGGTTTCCAGGTTTTAGCATCGTTAGACTATCCAGTCTTGATTGGCAAAGATCAACATATCACTTGTTTTATGCCCTGACAATGGTCTTCTTTGAAAAGAAAGTGTGATACAATCATATAGCCCTACTTTTTGTGTGTACCACGAAAAGGCCATATGGTCAAATATAAATAATTAATTTAAAAAGTAATAACAATAACTTATTTCACCAGTCGAAAAACTGTTAAACATAAAAACAATAAGAAGAGTCACCAGAGGGCAGAAGGGTTCTTTACAACCACACGTACAAAGCCACCAGCTCCGTTTTAGGAAGCATGGCCTTGTGGGTTATCTGAACTGTAGTATGTGATGGAGCGGGCTTGTTTAGTGTCATGATGTCTTCTGTTCTTCCCTCAGGTGGATCACGTCTGGTCTGACTGACGGAAGAGCCAATAAAGTGGGGGTGAGATCCTTGTTTCGGACTCTTCTACGCCTTTCTGCTGCGGCCGCAGCAGTTTGTTTGTGATCTGTGTTTTTGTAGATTCTTGTTATTTGACTGTTCTGATGACTCTGGAAGTCTTGTTTTCGTGGCTTAATGTCTGTTTGGTTAGGTTTAGGTTTAGGGGTGGGGGAGACTCCAGACCCTATGGCCCTTTGTGGGCTGGTCTGGAGGGCTTCCCTTTCTTTTGCAGCCCATCAGACTTTGTTTTGAGTATTTGGGGTTGATTTGGCTTGGATTTTTAATCCAATTTTTTTTCATAGTTTGTTTAATAAACTTAATATTTTATTTGCAACACCTTGACTCTTTGATTATTTTAGCCTTGCTGAGGGATGTAACAGAAGTGGTTTCTCCCAATGCCATCATGTTTTCCACAGTCACAGAAAAATGCATACAGAAGAGAAAAAAAGTCTTTGTTCATGCAACGTTACTACTGCGTCCTCCTGTGTTCTTATCCTGCAGATACATTTTCGACTCCGGCACAAGTTGCCGATAAGCTACGCAGCCTCGTCTTTGAAATTTGTTTTTTCCTTCGGATACACACAAGTATGCAGGAGAGAAGGTCGAAATCGAAAGCTCATTTTCAAATTCGTGACACCCCTAGTTGTAGTCTTTATGAAGACCTGGTAATTGTCGGTAGCGTCCCCTAGCAGTCCGCCAAAGGTGATGGCATTGGTGATGCAGCCCAGGTAGATGAAGACCACAGCAGAGAGAGACTGGATATGGAAGCCATCGTAGATATCACTACAATACCAAGGGATCTTCCGTTTGATGTCCAGCCACAATCCACCTCCAAACCTGTTAAAACAAAGATGAGCACATTGTTAAGATGACAGAACCAGGATGCAACTGCAACGCAGATCTCCGGTCCTCTCATACCTCCCAGTGAATTTCAGCTCCTCTCCAAGCTCATGTGGCGCTGGAAGCTCATCGTCTTCTCCTCCAGCCGCCCCGCCGGCCGAGCCGTTCATTTGACCCAGCTCGTTCAGGTTCAGCACTGACTTTCTGTGGCACACATGGAGACAGAACAAGCCGTCAGGGGTTGGACAGGACTTACTTGAGGTACTTGTCAAGAAGTAGTCTGGAGACGTGTGGACATGAATGGGAAGACAATGTAATGATGTGAAAGCTCAGAATCATGAACCTACAGAGAATTATCAGTTGAATCTGCAGTTCCTCTTGACTTTCTGGAGCTTTATAAGTGCCTTTCAGCTCACTGTTAAACTGTTCTCTCAGCGTTCTCTAGTCAAGACCACCCAAACAAAGAACAATTCCAGACAAGCCAGGATGTATCAAGACCAAGACAAGACCAAGAATTTGAGGGGTTGAGACCAAGTTAACACCAAGACCAAATGAGGACGAGACCCTGGTCAAGACCATTACCTGTGTACGACATACGATAAAATGTGAAACATGATCACAGGCGTTTCTCAAATTGATCTGAAATATCCATATTCCCATAAAAACACCCACATACAAACACTAAGAGCTGAAATCAACTTAACCATCTTTATTCAACACTCTTTTTCCATGTTTTCCATCCACCCAACACGATGCAGTTTTTTTGTGCAAGCAGACTCTTGTCTTCCATATTTGATCCTCATATTTGATCTGCAACTGTCTTTTCAAACGGAAAATGAGTATTGTGCCACGTGCTTATGGACATAGAGAGCACCCTATTTAATTTCCATCCATAGCGACTTACAATTGCTATATATGTCAGAGGTCGCACGCCTCTGGAGCAACTAGGGGTTAAGTGTCTTGCTTAAGTGGATTTGAACCCGGCTCTCTCACACCAAAGGCATGTGTTTTATCCACTGAACCATCACCACCCATTAAAACAATGGGAGGAGAGGAGAAAAGAAAAAGCAAGGGACTGAAACTGTAAAATCATTTTCGTACTTTTTGGGGGAGCTGTTCAAACAGCTTAGCTCAGGGAAACAACAGAAGTTTAAAAGTCTCTGTAACTGCTTGTTTCCACTGCAAACAAGTGGCGAACAAATTCAGTTATTACATGTTTAAATGTGATTAAGTACATGCCTCATTTCTGCTGATGGAACCTTCTTGGGAGGTTCGATACGTATCTTTGGGTCCCATTCCCCTGGTGGGAGGACAATCACCTCATCCAGAAACTCATCGACACCTGCGATCAGGTCTTCACGGTCCCTTGCTTTATAGGCAACATCACTGAACAGCTGACAGGAAGGCATAGAAATACAAATCAAAGTAATCCATTGAATGCGTTAATGAGTGTGGCCTATCGGTGTGGGACAGTGGCAGTCACTTACATCATCCACCATGAGCGTAGCGATAGCTCTGCCAATCTCATTGTAGGACTTGCTTTTGCCCGGAGGACCCAGCAAGATGAAGAGAAACCTGTCAGAACAGAAGGTCCAGAGGCTTATTAATGCAAGAACCCCCACACTCCAGAGAGAGATTCACAGGGAGACATGAGAGACACCCCCACCTTGTTGGCACAGGGACCTCGGTGAGGCCTCCCAGAGTCGTGGCCTGAGCCAAACGTACAAAAGAGACGAAGGGTTTGTCCAGAAAATCCACCTCACCGATCAGGACATTGGAGGCTTCGGCATCACGAGGAATCTTTTTCATGAACTTGTTCTTCAGCTGGCGGACGAGAGGGGAAACAGAAGGAGGCAGCAGGTAAAATCACATGTTGCACAGCAGCGGACATTTCCTAGCTGCTTATGTGTGCCATGATCAACTGGCATGAAATCAGGTACAAATATTCAAGGTCCCCAGAGGATGAATCCTGACTTTTCATCTAGATCCACTTGCATTTAACCTTTTCATTTATCCAGTGAAATATCTCAAAATCTGCTAAATGGACTGGCACAACATTTGGTACCACCATTCATGGTTCCCGGAGGATGAATCCAGTTTACTTTGGCGAGGCACATGTTGTTGATTCAGTAGTTATTGGATGGATTGCCATGTTCATGTTCCCACAGCATGGCCTAGTCTTTTTACTGCATATCATACTGTATCTCCTACTTTTGCTCATGGTGCTAAAGTTAAAGCCTCAGTCAGACAAACAGCAGGTGACGAAATGGTCCGGCGATGCTCAGTAGTTTAACACAATGCATCGTCATCCGGCAAGTTGATCCATTGGCCAATCAAATAGTGCAAGAGCACATTCCTGGTGGATTATTTGTAACGCTATATTTTTTGCAATTTAAATTATTAAATGCTTGCTGCTGTAAATTTTTCAAGAAAAATAATAAGTAAAACCCTTCGTTGTAATATAATATTGTGCAGTGTTTTTACATCTGATTTGCCTTCAAATTCGTGGCTCTGTTACTAAAACTGGACTTCCTGGATCGTATTTCTTTGTCTCACCGGTACCTGAAACAACATAGCCTTCCAAAGCAGCTACTTGTGTTCTTTTAATACAGTCATGTTTTTAGTCTGAAAGCTCATTAAGTCGCCATTTCTCTGCTCATTCTTGTTGTGGTGGAAAGTACTGTCCTTACAATTTTGAGGTACTTGTACTTTCAATTTTCTATTTTATACTTCTAGTCTTCTTCTAATAACTATAATTTCAGAATCAGAATCAGAAGGAGCTTTATTGCCAAGTAGTGTTTTACACATATGAGGAATTCGCTTTGATGATAAGGTGCTACACGCAGACAAACATACAGTTGACATAAATAAATGTAGGAATATATAAATATGGAATAAACAAATGCAAGTTATATAAGCATAATAGAAGAATAAGACAACTATTTGCTTAACTTAATAGTTACTTTACAGATTCAGATTAATAAAACAACATATAATAAAATACATTATAATTTAATGTTAAAGATTAAGATAAAACTTTATTGACCCCTACGGGGGAAATTAACAAGCTACCAGCAGATGAAGTACACATATAGTAGTAGTGAGTTCCACATTTACCAGTTTCAACCTTAAAGTAATGAATAAGTTATCAAGTAATAATTAATTTGAGCCAAAATAAATCCATGATATTTGGCAATTGTAAAACAATCAATCAAGCTTAGATGCAGTTAGAAGGTGTCAACATAATAAGAGTATACTAAAATAAATCCCTTGGAGTGATTATAGACGACAAGATCTGTGGGAATCCCACACATAACACTATCACTCCACATTTTCTTTTGCTCACTGGTGTTACAGTATTTAAATTACTGTGCAGAGGTTTGGGGGCCAGAAACAATCTGTATAGAGAAAAGGGTCTCTGAAAACGTTTTTGTTTGTTTCTCTTTTAAACGTTCAAAATAAAGAAATCAATCAATCAATCAATCAATAATTGTAATCCAGTAATATAACATACTGTACTGTATGTCTGAAATGGGCCATTTAGCTGATCATACTTGCAGATCTTGTAGCGAAGTCTTTTTACAGTGTGGTATTACTTTTAATTAGCTGACGCTTTTATCCAAAGTGACTTACAAATGATCAGAGGTCGCACACCTCTTGAGCCACTACGAGTTAAGTGTCTCACTCAGGGACACACTGGTGATGTGTGGCAGTGGGAATCGTACCCCGGTCTTATCCACTGCTCCACCGCCACCCCGTTAGTATTTTAAAGGATAAAGGCCCTGGAACCTTCCTCCACCGCTTTGTTTCCCACAGTATCAGGGGCACAAACACATCCAATTGAAATTTTGGAATTACATACAGTATAAAATCCCACAACACTGTGTTGTAACTCTCCTCCTCCTCCTCCTCCTCCTCCTCACTAAGGAAGCACGTGGCAGTGGAGTGGTGGGTGCTTAAATTAAAATCTCTTCATAATCTGTTAATGCCGCTTTCAGAGTCAATTCACCAACCGGTCCTCTTTCACTCTCTTGGTCCTACGCAACCGTAAACAAGACATTTCAATCTCTCTTAACATCAACTAATTTAAGAGTACTCCCTCGCTCTAAGTTTTAGTTTCCACCTGCAGCTATACTGTCGTAAGTTTAGTAGTTTTATACTCTGGCAGTAGGCATTACATGTTATGATGAGTGTGTGTGAGTGCGCATATGGGTCAGAACCGTCGGATCAAAGAAAGCTGGAGGTGCCATGCCAGCTTCTGTGAACAAATGATTAAAGCAGACTCAGGGGTCACATGCACAACGTCTTTTCCTGCTCCCTTTGAAGTTCTTGTAAAGATATTTATCCGATTTACAAACATAAACACACACAAATTACTGCTGCTGGTTAACAATTAATACAGTATACAGCAAAACAGAACCTCACATACAAATCACAAGAAAAAGCAAGTGACTGAAACCGTAACTTTATTGTCGTACTTTTTTGGTGGGAGCGGTTCAAACAATTAAGCTCAGGGAAACAACAGAAGCTTAAAATTCTGCACACAAATGCACAATCATAAGTACAAATACCCATGCAGGTACATGCACAAACACAAAGTCGCAGCTCAGCTAGCAGACTGTGTGGATTAGAGGGGTTTAGTAGTTCTGACGACTCTGTACACCTTCTCATAAAACAAGGCTCAACTTTCACAAAACACAAACACAACCTGAGAAATGGAGAGGGAATGTGTCACATATGCCATCTGTTAACTGTGAGCAGAACCGAAATAATCCATCGTTATTTTCCCACAGGCAACAGGAGAATAGCTGATTACAAATCAATAACAGCTCAGACAGTGACTGTGTTTCTACAGTACGTGCAGGCACTGACTGTGTACAAGCCGCAGATATTTTATTTTACACATCAGTTTACTTGTCATAACGCGTACTTCTTGTATGTATGGAGCAGCTTTGTCAAGTCTGAGAAAAATAACCCTGATGAGGTCATAGTGATGTTATCAGGTTGGTTGATGATACAAACTGGGGATGTGGAGTCTGAGAGATGTGGGGCATTTAATTGGTTTAATGAAGAGATGCTGTTAACTTGCCTGGGAAATGTAGGACCCAGTGTTTTTGGAGCTTAACCCAAACTAGTTTATTAAAAAGTGCAATACTACACTTAAAATATGTTGATTTCTTTCTGTTTTCTGTTGAAATTCTTTTAAAAAACTGTACTTTCTTTGACAACATTATAGGTATTAAAAATTAAGAAATGAAAACTTCAAACTGGACGGTTTCGGTTTCCAAACATGAGCAAACAACTCCACAGCTGTTGCTAAATCCTGATTGGTGAATGGAAGTTTGTGTCAAAAACAGAAATCTCTCAAAACCTTTCTAACTTTGGCAGGAACTGCTATATTGAGGGCCCCACCACCCGCAGTTTGAGGGCCTCTAAAGGGCAGTTCACAACTATTTGCAAAACTACATACCACTAGGGATTAAGTAGAAAAATATGTCTACAGTATGAGATGTGGGTGAACTGACCCTTTATCTGTAAAGGTAACATATTTCCATGACAAAATAGTGGTGTTGCTTTTGTATAATATGTATACATAAGTTGTATAAGTGTTTCTACAAATTAACTTAATTTCTCATGAACCATAAACTGATTTCATCATTTGACATAATGAATGCTTTAAAGGTGCATTTTATTCTTACTGTGAATAAATTACATAAAAAACTAAACTAAACCAGCAGTGAACGTATCTCTTAACAAGTCCTGTGTGTGATATCTCTTCTTCCTCTGAGCCGTAGAGCTCCATTGTTGTCCAGAAACTATTAAAACCCATCAGTGAGCCTCACTGCTGCACTGGGTCACATGTTTGTACATCACCATGAACACAAACACTGTAGTTTATTCTCACTGAGTCCTACATGCACCGTCCTGCTGTCACAAATACTCACTAGAGCGCCACATGTGGATTCATCCGCCGCTGAAAATAGTCCCCAACAAATGCACTAAATGGTAGAAGGATGCTTTTATCCAAAGCGCTACAATTAGCCTCTCATTCACCAGCAAGCGACCATGTAAGAGGAATGACCTCGCCCAAGGACACATGAACTGCCAACACAGTGATTAGTGGATGACCTGCTCTAGTTCTTGGGTCGCAGCCGCCTACTACTTTATCCGATTTGAGTAATTTTTGATAGAAACTACAGTGAACAGCTGTTTGAGGAAATTACTGAGCCTTTTTAAACATGAAACTTTATATTTGTGAGTTTTTTTGTTTTTTAAAAACATTTACATTTTCAAGTAGGAACCAAAGGGCTTGGAGCTGAGAGACACAGTTGTTGAAAATAAGAATATAAAATATAAATGTAGAATATTTCCAGCCTTAGTGCACACAAATCCACAGTTACAAACACACATGAAGCATGAACATAAAAGTTACCTGGTCTGTGCTCGGTGTGTCTGAAATGTCATTCATGCTTCGGCTCTGGGCAGCATCTGTAAATGAACCACTCACTTTAATATTTAAAACACACAGTGTGCCATGTTATGTTGTATAAAAAGAAAGAAACAGGGGTTTCTATGCGTTTTGAGTTGTGTCTCAGTGGACTTTTATTCAGCTGAGATGCAACAGAGAGAGCAGTCCACAGTGTGTGCTAGAACGTCACCATGACCACTTGTTTCTGTGGAGGATTATATTTTAATGACTCATTTTAACTCAAAGCATATTTGGGAACAAATACCACAAATACAAATCGAACAAAAGAGAACAAGAACATAGCACAGAGAGAGAAAATAAATCCTTTCATAATCCTCTTCACCCAGATAGATTCACAACATGAATTAGCAAAGGCGCACACAATAGGACCAAAATCTCTAAAGTAAACACATATTATGTATTCGTGACAAGTCTATACACACATCATGCAGTGAGGGGGGTTAGCTGGGATCAGTGTTGAAAAAAAATATAGAAATACCCGAGAAGTTTAGAAAGAGAGAGTTTTGTCTTAGAGAAATTTGTTAAATAGCTGCAAATATTGAGTGTGTATCTTGGTGGAAGAAGTAGTGGAGAGCCGGGGCGAATGAAACGCGGGACCAATGAAACACAGCGATTTTCTCTAAGCCCATACAAGTCTGATACGCCAAACTACCTCAGCACATACAGTCCACAGTAACAGAACTGAGAAAAATCAGGTGGATACGTCTACTTTTGTGTCAATCACGGAAAGTAAATTCACTCAAGCGATCTTTTTTTTGAATGATGAGTTGTGTTTATTGTTCCATGTGCCATGGTCATGATCACATAAAAGTACTTTAACACATGAAGTTTTAAATGTCAAAGTTTTACAGTTTAGAAGCTAGTGAAGTTTAAACGCCAAGAGTCACTGTTGGGACGATTGAAAGAGGTGTTTCAATCGTCCCAACAGCCATTCTACCTTATTTAAATACGGCGGGAGGGGGTCAGAGTCCACTACGTTGCAGGCTGGACCACCAGGATGCTCACCAGCCAAATAACAGGGTCTTCACAGTAGACCAGGAAAACAGGCTGCCAATATCTAATCCAAATGTGCATTAGCTGTTAGATTTTCTAGTTAGCTAGCTAAGTTATATTTACTTTTTATATTTCTATTTTTTATTTAAAAAAAGGACATAATGAGTTTTCAATTACGTATTAAGAAGGGCAGTGTCAAGCTTTCTAAATAAAAATAACAATAACAAACTATTTTATGTATATCGTTGTGTTTCTTCAGTCCCACCCCTGTGTTTCATCCGTCCCGCACAGTAGGGACAAATGAAACAATGCGCACCTTTCCTTCAAAGTGAAATTATACTGTAGTCATTCCACATTTTAACAAGATAACACCTGGGATTGATAGAAAACACATGTGAGTTGTTGATGACAACAACAAATGATTTCTGTCTGTAACGTTATATTTTAAAATGACGTATATCTGAAAAGTGTAGTTGAACTACTTTATATACAGTTATCTAGTTTGATCTACTTTATATACTGTTATATAAGTTTATATAGTTACAGTTTGCTAGTTTGAACTACTTTATATACAGTCCGCTAGTTAACCTACTTTATATACAATTAGCTAGTTTAAATTACTTTATATAAGTTACAGTTAGCTAGTTTAAACTGCTTTCTATATGGTTAGCTAGTATGATTTACTTTATATTGTTAACTAGTTTGAACTAGTTCATTTGCTAGTTTGAACTAGTTCATATACAGTTAGCTAGTTTGAACTGCTTTATATATGGTTAGCTAGTTTGATTTACTTTATACTGTTAACTAGTTTATATACAGTTAGCTAGTTTTAACTACTTTATATACAGTCCGCTTGTTAACCTACTTTATATACATTCAGCTAGTTTGATCTACTTTATATACAGTTAGCTAGTTTGAACTACTTTATATACAGATAGCTAGTTTGATCTACTTTATATACAGATAGCTAGTTTGATGTACTTTATATTCTATTAACTAGTTTGAACTACTTTATATACGGTTAGCTAGATTCAATTCCTAGCTAGTTTAACTACTTTATATACTGTAAACTACTTTATACAGTTAGCTAGTTTACTTTATATACTGTAAACTACTTTATACAGTTAGCTAGTTGAAACTACTTTATATACAGTTAGCTAGTTTACTTTACTTTATATACTGTAAACTACTTTATACAGTTAGCTAGTTTACTTTATATACTGTAAACTACTTTATACAGTTAGGTAGTTGAAACTACTTTATACAGTTAGCTAGTTTGAACTACTTTATATACAGTTAGCTAGATTCAATTCGTAGCTAGTTTAACTACTTTATATACAGTTAGCTAGTTACTAAGTACTTTATATAGAGTTTTGGTCTGTTTTCATATTTGCTAGATAATTTTACCTCTTTGTGTGCTGAACAGTTATTTAAAGGAAACCACCTTAAATAAGGGTGGAACTGTGAAACGTGATAAGTCACGGGTCAATAATGTCAGGAACCATGTTTTAACCTTTAACAATGTATGGTAGGCTATTTCTAATCTTATTATATCTTTTGTTTATATAATATCTTAAACGTAACCAAACCCATGGTGCATTCATGTGTGTGTGTGGTGTGTTTAGACTCACGCAGGTGGCTGAGGCTGCTTGACTGCCGAGAGCGTAGGTCTTCTGTGGAGCGGTGGATGCCAGAAGCTGAACTAGTACTATGATTAACCTGAGGACTACGGTCTGACAGAGCAGCAGCAGCAGATGTGAAAACGATGAGCACCGAAGAGGTGATTTTACAAGGTAAGGCGGTGATCAACGTGGCAGAAAACAAAGGCAGCATTAGTCATTAATTAGAAGGTTAGATCACTTTACTGTGATTGCTGATTGGTAGTTGAAAATGCATACAAGTGGCGCACAAACTTACTGGAAGCAGTGTTGGAGGACTTTCCTATATCTGCCAGCGAGCGGTGGATTGGTTTCTTGGTCTGGTGACGGTGTTTCCTGAGCAACACAAAGCTGATCTTCTCCTTCAGATCCGGAGGAATGAGACCATCAGCTATCTGCCGATCCACAATCTCATCTGGAGTCAAAGTTTACAGCCCAGTTGAAATAAAGGTAATTTTGCATGGACTAAACCACTTCTAAGGTAACTAAACATCATTTTTGCACATGTCAAGTTAATTATCCCGCAATGTAATTCAAAAAAGACAAGAGGCTCAGCTTGAGCTCCAAAACTCTAAAATTAATTGCAGATGGTTGTGATCCGGATACAGGAAGAACCTTGAACACAAATGTATAAAATCCAGTTTCTTAGCCTGTTTTCGCTTATTGTTTTGGTTTTGCGTCTTGCAAAATCTGCTTTTCCCAACAACATTTCCAACAGAAAAAGCTTTGATAAAGCCATGGTATATGACCTGCTCAGCAGCAAACAGGAGACAGACACAGGCAGAGTTTGTTAAATAAACCCTCTTTTTGAAACGCTACATGTGCCTACCACATGGAGTATGAAAGGAATGGAACGTACTGCTGTCTGGACCATTGGACTTCAATCTAAGGGCCTTTACACCTGAAAGTCTGCACCAAGGTCTGCACCAAAGGTCATATTTTTGATAAAATAGTTTTGGTTTGGTTTCAAATTGCAATTCTGTGAGCATACTGAAGAACTTTACATGACATTGCGTCCTGTCTTCATCATCTATGTGGGCTGCATCTCCTTAACCTTGACAATGATTGGTTTGTAAACGGACGTGAGTTGGACATCGTCATGTTGCCAATTCAGCGGCTAGCTTTGACAATACTCTTTGGCCTTGACATGAATGAATGAACAGATGCATATCCATGCCACTATATTGTTATTATTATGGCATTACTAACTGCAGCACAAACTCAACTCGAGGCTGGTTCAAATTCGCCTAATGAACATCCTCATGTGAACATCGTCGCTGGCAGGAAAAGAAATTTCTGCACCTCCGTTTGGGGATAGACCAAAGAAGTGTCAATTTTCTTCTATAGCGGCAGTTTCAAAAGATGAGCTGTCGCAGCAAATGTATAATTGTATCCTTATTTTAATGCATTTCTCTGTGCATAGAAAAATAATTCTTAATTTTCTATTGCTACGTCATCTTCTCTCAGTTATTTCCAGTTTACTCATGAACCACCGGAACTTCCTGTAAATTGTCTGAAAGTCCAAACCATCCAAAAAATGCTTTCACACTAGAAAAGAACCGAACGTTATAGTTCTGAAGTCTAGAAACAACAGGGGAGAAACTGCTGTTGGACTCACCCACGATCTGTGGCAGCGAGTAGCCCTCCAGGTCCAGCAGGATGCTTCCTGTCTGCAGACAGGTCCTGAGCTCAAACAGGCTGTGGAGGGTCAGTGTGGAGACATGAGGCTTGCTCCATCTTTCTCCTCCCTCCTCCACCTTCTCCTCAAACTTCACCCACCTACAGAGAGGGGAAAAAGTGGGTTGGCTCTGGAATTCAGTAAATTAAGAGGTGTAATTTGAATGAATGATTGATTTGTCCAGCCAGCAGGATGCTGTTATGTGTTAAAGCCCCGTCACCCAGCACCCATGATGTCTCATATCTAACCCTCAACCTCTAAATCCATCAAAAGTGACCCCAAATCCTAAAATAATGAAAGCTCTGACACTCTGACACCGGTATGTTTGTGTGTATTTCCGTGTGTGTACCTTGCAGACTCTTTCCACTCTAACTCGCCCCCCTCTTGCTGTAGTGTGTCCATCTCAGTGAATATTGTGGGTGTTGGGGTGGTGTCATCCTCCGCCAGTAAGTGGCGCAGCCGCTCTGCTGCAGGGGACACTGCATAAATGTAGGCCAAACAAGAGACAGAGTCAGATTTCCATTAAATTCACAGACAGAGGAAACTTACATAAAACAACCTGAAAAGCAGAAAGATAAAAGGCAAGTTTATTTGTGTAGCACATTTCAACAACAAGGCAATTAAAAGTGCTTTAAATAAAACAGAAAAGCAACATAGGGAAAAATAAAAAAATACATTTAAATAAAATTTCAAACAAAACGAGGCTTTTAAAATATAAAAACAGGTTAATTTACCCGGTATACCAATTTGTTAGTGGTTTTGTAGAATCTTCATCTTTTCTAAAATCTCTTTATCGTACAATATTTATTTCCTCTGATTCACAATCTAGCTACAACAAGGCTGCTGTTCTGGGAGTTAGGGGCACACATTCTTACTCCCAACTCATCACATATGGACGCTTGGTCAAGAACCCTTGGTGTCGCTGTTTAGCGCCCTGGGTACCCTGTAGTGTGTTTTTTTTATACAGTCTATGGTTTTTGCACATGTATTACACAATAATAAAAATGCAATGTTAGGTTAGATATTTAAGATAAAACTAGTGGTCAACGTTGTGAAAGATCGCAATTTGGTTCGGTTTAGAAAAAGTTAATGGTTTGGGTTAAAATAACTACATTAGTTATGTAAGATCATTAAAAACAATCAATGTTGACTTTTTGTTTCACACAGGAAATGAACGCCAGTCTCCTGTGTGTCTATTCATCCACCCTAAACCACCTCCTTACTTGGACTTTTCTGTTATTTATAACCAGGCTTACTTTTAAGAAAAAGGGTAAAAGAGTGTGTGACCAAGCGTCCATATGTGAGAATAGGTTGGTCAGGAACATAATGTCAACAACACTCTGGTCTAGAGGGCAAAATAACCAACAAGTCTATGCGGATCAACATCCCCCACATACTCGAGCACCACAACCAAACGAGTCCTTCTGCATGATGAGTCCTTCTGATGCAAATACATTTTTACTTAAGTTTTATTTAAATGCAGGACTTTCACGAATAAGTATTTTTTACTCAAGTACAAGATCTAAGTACTTTTTCCACAACTGCATGTAACAGATGTCCTTTGTCGGATTAAATCCCACGACATTACGTGGCTGAGACCACCAATAGAAACAGTGTGATCTAAACCACACTTCTTTAACGAGCGAACAAGAGAGTCAGCTCCTCTAATGACTATCTGATATCTGATCAGCTGGACCCTTTTTCTAATTTTACTCTGAGCAGATCGATCCCCATTAACGTCCGAGCCCGGAGGCGCTGTTCGCTCGCATCCCACCACTGATTGTGTGTGCGTCAGTCAGCACGAGAACGTGTGTCGCTGACTTTGTTTGTTCCTCCTTATGATCCAAAAGCTAATAAAAAGTGAAAAACCCATGAACTCAGAGAGCTGAATGGTTCCAGTTTAAACCACAAGTGTCACGAGTGATGTTCACAATCTCAATCAACAATTCCACATGCAGGGAACAATTAGGTAATCCATGTTAACTACAGCGTGGTGTATAATTATAATACAATACAATGTTCCACAATGAGCCCAACACAGTTTCCATTGCTGTCTCTACTGTCTGGCACATTGGGTCAGGTCATGTTGGTGTGTTTGTGGCTGTTTAAAAAATATTGCAAACATGCTTCAGGTTCTGAGATCAATGCTTTGGTTAATCAGAGATTCGGTGTGTGACAGCTGAGAGAGCTGCAGACTGGATAGAAAAATGAACCCTCATCTTTGCTGGATGTGGATTGACAACTGTTTGCTAAAGCATAGCTTATTGTTATGTAAATGGTGAGACGTCAGCTTGTTCCACTATCACCAAGGGGCTAAAAGAATCAATGAATGCTGCTTTAAATAACTGATTTATTAACAATGTGAGCTTTTTAAACCATGAATCAAGAGACCTTAACCACATGGTCACTAGAGAGTGACACAGTTATTTTAAAATGGTCTCAAGGGAACCATAGCCATAAAAAATGTCCCGGCACAGAAGATCGGAAATATTTATTTATTCACAATAAGTAATAGGTAATAGACAGAAGAGGTTCATTACTTTTTGATAAACTGCATACATTGAAAATGAGTGATAGTTTAATTAAATCTAATTTGCATGTCAGTGGCCGTTCTTTTTTATCAACGACATCACTACAATGCATCATGCTCATTTCCAGGCTTTCTCCATTTTCACTTGTGCCATCTTTACCTGTTTGGGAGCCAGGTAGGGTCCAGCAGGAGGCCATAATCGTGGGGAAAGGCGCCCCGGGGTCCTGCATACTCACTGGATCCTCTGACAAGTTAGACCCAAAGGTATCTGGAGAGAGATCCTCCGTCTGCTTTGGGCCAAGGAAAAAGGAGGCGTCTAGCTTCCTGTCCTCTTGTTAAGGTTGAGTGTCCACCATGAGTGGATAGAAGTGACACACTCCTTCTCACATACGTCCTTTCTGCTTGTTTCTCCGCTTTGCTGACTCCTTTGAGTTTTATTCCTGAGCCAGTTGTTGTTAATTCAGGAAACCATGTATGGTTTGTTGTGTCGTCGGTGTCAGCGGTCAGACCTGCGCCTTCAATCAGTCAGAAAAGGTCTTCTCTAAGCTGTGGCAGAAATCCACTGAAATCTCCAAAGCAGCAAAGAGCCAGAGGCTTTAAGAGGGTTGACACACTCCACAGGGCCCTCTAGTACTCTCCTCCCAGAAGCCCATGCACACGCACTCATACTCAGACACGCAACAAAAGCAAGGACATCCTCACCAACATAACCTCTACTTTCTTGCTCTGATGGCCCCAACAGTCCTGCATCAGTGCCTCTAACTATCCGCCTCAGGCTTTGGTGTTTGCTGCACACGTTTGGTATAAATCCGGACTGGAAAAGGGCAAAAACACAAAACACCCCAAATAACACACATACATGCACACCAGCTTGGAGTTCCTCAGCTCTAATCAGCTTACGGGCTTCAGTCTTCATGGTCCCTTGGGAACAGGGACCATGCTGCAAAATATTCATCACTTACATGCACTAGCGACTTCAACCTCGTCACACACGTTTAATGCAGAGGCTACTTTGGCTTAACAGCATAGAGCCTGGTCAAATATCACTACTGTGTGTGCCGGATATTTTGCACCAGCTAGCAGTGGTGGACAGCAACTAAGTACATTTACAAGTACTGTACATAAGTACAAATTTGAGGTACTTTACTTGAGTATTTTCTTTTCATGCTACTTTCTAGATATTGTACTTTTTACTTCTCTACATTTATCTGACAGCTTTACCCAAGATTTTATACAGTACAGCTGACAGGATTATCAGACTGACACTGAAATTAACTGGCAACAACTTTGATCATTTAAAACTACTTGGTGAGGTTTTGGAAAACATCACGGTGACAACTACAGTAACGTCAATTCTGTAACCTACATAAAAACATTTAAAGTTGACTTTTTGTTTCAGACAGAAAACAAACACCGGTCTCTTTGGCGTCTGGTACCAACACACACGGCAGCCTTTAGCATCATAGTTGAACGCTAAAAGTATTATTATTATTAATAACAGAAAAGTCTGAGTAAGCAGGTGTTTGCGGTGGACAGTAACTGGACTTTAACCCAGAAGAACGGTGTTTGTTTTCCACGTCCTAAGTTATGTTACTTAACTTACGTAAGTAAAGTAGTTATTTTCACCACCAATTCTTGGTGCTTAAAACTAAGCAAATTGTGACGTTGCACAACATTATCCACTAGTTTTATTTTGAAAATGTGGATGTTGCATATTTATTCTTGCCAACTTGACCGCGGAGCACCTACACAAAAATTACGCTAAAGGGCACCCAAGGTGTTAATGAGCAACGCCAAGGGTGTTGACCAAGTTGGGAGTTAGAACAGATCGTGCATTTATGTAGTTCTTTTGTCCAAAGCACTTTAGAATTTTTGTTTTTTGTTCACAACCCTGACCATCAGGAGCAACTACACCAGCTTTAAGTGTTCATAAATGACGCTTCCACCAGTGCGTTACAAACTGACTCCAAGGAGTCTTGACCATGCATCCAAAATTTACACACTGGGCTGGAATAAAGCTCTTGGAGTTTAAAGTTAAAAGGTATCAAGGGAAGGGCCCAGTAGTTGTTCAGAGTTTGGATGGATGACTCTTATTGCCATCCAAGTCCATTCTGACTTTTTACTTCAGCCCACTTGGTTTATTACTTTATACTGTCTCCTCTGGTTTTACCATCCTACTCTTGCCAGTTTTACTTTATTACTTTATTTATTTGTTTGTTTATGCTTCTTCCATTTGCTCTGAGGGGTTTCCTTGTAAAGCTATCTCTGTACATGTTAAGAAAAACACAGCATTTAATTTTCTGCCGCTAGGGATCAAAAGAAAGACAAAAGACGTAGTTAGTGAAGTAGCATGTCTTCACCACAATTGCCTTTATTGCGATCACCTTCTCCTGGTTAGGGTTTCTTCAGTGTTTATCGTTCTGGAGGTTTTTCCCAGGAGTAGAATTATCCGCTTAGACAACTTCTCTTCAAAAAACAAATGTACCAGGTGAATAAAACTGGGAGAAACACTGACTAAAGCAGTTTCACATTAAAAGTCAGTGTTTCTCCAACCTTGTTTGGTGGACACAGGTCTCAATGCATGTAGACATTACCTCAAACAGGCACGTATCTAACCTGAGGGGTCGGCGTGCTCGCGGCGCTCTGTGCTGCCCTCGTCATCGCCATAGTGCTCCTCTCTGTCATGGTAATATCCCTGGTGCGAGTGTTCACGGTGTGTGTGGTGATCATAGTGTGTGTGCCGCGTGTCGCGGTCTGCGTCACTGGCATAGGAATGATGTCTGCGCCTTTTCCGTCTGTGAGAAACTGGAACGCCGATGTAGACGGGCTGGGCCTCTGAGAGAGAGAACATAGAAGAGCCGGATCAATACAGTCCTCATTAGTAAGCAAGTACACACACACAGACTGTCATGTTTCTATCACTTCAGAGGACATTAAATTGACTTACATTCATTTCCTGGAGACTTAACCTAGCCATAAACCATACATTTCATTGATTTATGTTACAGGGAACCTCGTTTTGGCCACCCAATTGGACTGTATAAACAGATTTATGTCCCCATAACATGAGTAATACATGTCCCCACACATTACATGAACTGAAGTGAACTGAACTGAACCAAAGTAAATTTAAAAAGGTTGAGTTAGATTGGAAGATCAATACCACTCTCATGTCTGTACAGTAAGCTTAGATTAAGTTAGCTCAGCACAAAGATTGGAATGAGGGGGATTTCCCCAAAATGTCGATTTTAATTTAACAACTCATGCTCGTGTTTCTGAAACACAGTTGGTCCAACACGACTGTCAAACGGCCGCATTTCAGCCCGTTCTCATTCCCAGGCGTCAAATAGCTACGCTTTACCACGTCCTTCGGCGTCTGGTACATGGCAGTCTTTAGCATCATAGTTGAATGCTAAAAGTAGGTCTAGCATTACTAACAGAAAAGACAGGTGGACAGGTTGGTCAGAACTGGACTCTCACCCAGAAGACCGTTGTGTTTGTTTCCCGTGTGAAACAAAAAGTCAGCATTGATTCTGTTACTTAACTAATGAAAGTACTGTAGTTATTTTGACCCAAATCATGATCTTGGTGCCAAAACCTAACCAAACTGGGACATTGTGCAATGTTAACCACTAGTCTTATTTTGAAAGTTTAACCTGATGTTGCATATTTGCTAACTTGACCATGGAGCCCTACATGTGGAAAAATGACACTAAAGGGTACCCAGGAAGTTAAAAACAAAGCCAAGGGAGTTGACCAAGTTGGTAGTGAGAACAGGTATTTATATTGTTCTGTCGTCCAAAGCGCTTTCCAATTTTTGCCTCTTATCACACACCAATGGCAGCGAGCCATCATGCAAGGTGCTGGGCTGACCATCAGGAGCAGTTTGGGGTTTAGCAGACATGGAAATTTTTGAAACGTGGACAGGAGGAGGTAGCAGTTGCCTACTTTACTCAATCTTGCCTGCAGGGTAACTGTTTTCTCACCATCATCATCGTCGTAGTGTCGGTGGCCCTTACTTCTCCCTCGCTGCCAGTCATGATGATCCATCCTGAAACCAAAATGCAGAGAGGAGGTTTACGTGGTGGAAAGAAAGAAATGACCCACAGCACCTCACATACGGATGCTTTCTCTGTTTGTGGAGATTTCTCTGCTCGGGGAATCCTCCTGGCCTTAAAGTGACTCTTACTGTAACAAGTGAACCGCTGGCCCACATGGCCACACATGTGCCACAGAAACCTCAACGGATCAATGGATGACAAGAGGAAAACTCAATGGAAAACCCCCAGCAGCCCTTCAGGACCAGCTGCAGCTCAAACTATGGAAACCGAAGGAAACAGCATGGAATTCCCACCAAACTGCTGCTCGGCTTCCTGCTCCCAGTACAAATAGTCTCGTATTTAACCTTTAAAAATAAAATAAATTGTGTTACTATACAATATTCACACAAACCTAGAGCCACACAGGATCTTGAAACATTACATGAACAAAATAAGTTTATATCAAGACAATTACACAATCAGTACAAACTGACATGCCATAGCTGAATGTTGTTCTAACGTTGATGAGGTTACGGAGCTTAAATATACAACGATTCCACTTTCACTTTGTTATTAATGGCTTGGTTCAGAGCCCATAGGACAGCAAAATCCAAGATGAGATCTCATAGTTGTTTCCTTGTTTTCTCAGAGACACAAATGAGCTGCTTTTAATACCAAGGTGAGACCAAAGGCCTTTTCTCCCACTTCTCAAATTCATCTCAGGAGAAACAACCATATAAAATCTCATTTATGTCTGACTCTGATCAAAACAAGAGATCTCTAACTGATCTTAAATAGGTCTAATTTAAGTCTCCTCAACATTGGACCATGAGATCAGAGAAAGAGCTCAAAGAAAACTCAAATATGTCTGTTTTCTCATATTGTTAACTCATCTGTCTTACTCTGATCAAAGGATGAGATCTCTACAGTATGTTAAATAAGCATCATTTCAGTCTCCAGAATGTGGATCAGAAAAAAAGCTCCAAGATATTTCTCAGTTTTGTCTTAGTGACCCCACTTAGTGGTTATTTTACTCAAGTACTTTACTTATGTCAAATGTTGAGGTTGAGTATTTTCTTTTTATGGGGGTTTGTACTTTTACTTCCCTTAATTTTAAATCCTTATTGTATTTATTGTTAATTATCTGTTACAAGTTACTGAGAAAAATAAAATTAATTTTGAAAAACAATAATACACAAAATAATGCACTTTCAAATGTCATGTTTTCCAAGAACCCAAGAACACAACAAGTATCTGTTATACAGAATAAGCACTTTTACTTTTGATACTTAAGTACATTCACTATGGAATACTTTTATACCTTTTGCTTGAGTAGAATTTTGAGGACTTTAATTGTGGATATGGTATTTCTCCTCCTTTAAGTCTATGAAAATTGTACTGGATTTAAAGACAATCAGTCCTTTATTGCCAATTTTAGCTGGATGGTGCAGCGGCAGTGTCGTTGCCCTTGGAACAGCAGGAGCGGGGTTCAAACCTCCAGCACGGTTCTCCAAGCACAGACAGTGATGTGATACAAAAAGCTCACAAACATCTCCCCAGAGCTCCCAACTGCTTTTTAGGAGCAACAAGCAAGACATTAATGAACTGGAAAGGATACAATGATGAGATCTCATCTGTTACTTTCATTTATCCTATTGTAATCTCAATTCAGTATCCATCTGTCTTACCCAAGTCTCAAAACCTCAATCTCTCTTCACCTCATCTTTTTCTCCTAAGGGCTTTTAGGAGCAACAATTCAGATTGGAGTGATCTCAAAAAGATAAACTATTGAGATCAAGAGTATGGAAGATTTAGAATGCCTGAATAAACACAAACCAAACAAGTGTTTTCTCAAGAGTTAGTTAGAGTAAATGAAGCTCTAGCAGTGGTGAAGTAGGGGTAAGGCGATTTTCTCCGAGCCCTGGCTGCATTTGCAGTCCAAGCTGTGGCAGCACCTTCAGCACGCAACCCTTGATGGAGCTGCAAATATCGCATCATCGTTTCCCACGGCCGTCTTCGGAAAACTGTTTTCCAGCACAGCAAGTAAATTTCTGAAGTGGGACTGTTTTTCGAATTACAAGTTGTGTCTTTCGTTTCATGTGTCACAGTAGTGATCAATCTACACGTTATTTAGTGCTTTGCCCTGTCAGAGTTTTTGAGTGTAAAAATAAATCGTGTTGATTTGTCAGGAGTTCCTGTCGGGACGAAAGTAACACTTGTTACCGCTACAGTGACCACAAGTGTTTCTTTTGTCCCGCTGCTAATGTGGTGACTTTCTCTGTGTTGCAGCATGTATTGAAACATGTTTATGTTATATTATACCAACGTATATTTAATAGGAACAAGGGAAACACAAAAAATCTAGTTGTGTTACTTTTGAACCAACGGATGGGGTCGAAAGTACCAATGCGTCGCTTATGTTTAAAGTGAAATTATACAGAAGTCGTTCTACATTTGTACAAAATACCACCTGACATTGATAGACCACACCTGTGAGTTAGTGCCCACAGCAAAAATATATCTCTGTCTACAACATAACATTTTAAAATCAAGTTTTTCTGAAAAATGGTACTTTCGCCCCTGCTCTCCCCTATTCATCAGAGCCTTCACTTAAAGGTTGAGCAGTTCGTCCATTTTGGGCTACTGTGGTTAGCGATGGCGCAATGGATAAGACATTGGTGACACTTGACCCCTAGTTGCTCCAGAGGAGTGCGACCTCTGACATGTAAGTCGCTTTGGATAAAAGCGTCAGCTAAATGAATAAAATGTAAATGTTTTTTCATTCATTATGTAAGGTCTTATACGCCACTGAAAACATAGTTATGGATGTTATATTGCATGTATTGTATTATATTATTGTCCTGCATGTTTGCATGTAACAAAAGTAGGTTGTGTGTTGTTTGCATGGCTAGCTGTGTCTAAATGGTGTCTGCTGTTACTGTACTGATGTTTTACTGTTTCTGGATGTTTCGCATGTCTTATGTTGTGTTTTTGAGCATGCTTGTTTTGTTGTTATTGTTCTTTTTATAGTGTTTCAGTGTACTTGTTGTTACTTACAAAACATCTTGCTGAAGGACTGCAGTTGAAAATTAGCCAGTAGGCTAACACTGTCACATTTTACAGTAATGTTGATTAATGTGTACTGTCCTTATAAATAAATACCTAGAAAATAGAAAAGTACTAATACCACACTGTGAAAATACAAGTAAAAGTTCAGCACTGAAATTGTTACTTATGTAAAAATATGTCAATATAATCACGAAAATAATATTAACTCTTGATTGGAGGCAATTGTACATTTACTTAATAATTATTATTAATAATAGTACAATATAACTAAACAACCATTTCTTATTTGGGAAGGTCACCTTTACTTAAAAAATTGTCAGACACAGTGATACTGATCATTTCTATGTCTTTATTGACCAAATGTTCAAAAAGATAAAGAAAGGAGGTTCAAAAGACCCCTCCTCACAGCACATACATCTGATTTGAGTTTGTTCTTTTCAAACACAAAGTCACTTAATAAGCAGTGCTTATTTGTTAAAGCAAATTAAGGTTCAGTACGTCATTACCACTATAAATTTTACAGAACATGGATTAAGACCAAACAAATCCAAAATCGGCCATGACGTAAAATTCCATTTGACCTTAACTCAAGTCATATCCAGAAGAGTAAGGCAAGCATACAATATTACTAATACTAAAAGACAAAAGTAAAACAAGAGAGCCATAAACCAGCCAGGAAAAGACTGAGTGCACAACATGCACAACCAATCAGTCTGTGTCTTCTGAGAAATGTCAATAGGACATGGCTATTTGGGAGATGAATTGTCGACGAAGCGTCGCAGTGAAACAAGGGTCATTTCATTTTGGCGATATGAGGCTGCTCAACGTCTGATTTTACATAGAACTACCAGTTTTCGCCCAATAAGTAAATTTACAGCCTATTACTATAAACATTTCAACGTTTAATGCTGTAAATAAACATGTAAAAAGAAAAAAACTTTCAACAAATGTTTTTAAAGAGGTGGTATTCTGCTTTTTGGCTTTTTCCCTCTCCTTTACTGAGTTATATTCCTTTTTTGTGCATGTAACAGGTTTGCAAAGTGAAAAAGCCCAAAGGGAGTTCCCATCTCCCTCAGAAAACTCTGCTCTGAACTGCCTGAAAACAACTCGTTTGTAGTCCAGCCGCTTCCCTTTCGAAAGGTAAATACGCCTCATATAACGCTCGCCAAGCGGCTACTCTGACATGCCCTCAAAAACAGCGGTGGAAAAACAGCGAGCTGCAGCACACAGCTCTCCTCTCCCTTCCAAACACTAGCTACCCTCCAGGCAGTCAGTGACATAAAGTTGTTCCTGTGATGTAGAGACAGAGCTCAGTTAAAACTTTATGGATACAGATTAATAACTCACCGCTCTGAAACTCTCGCTCCAGTCCATGTTGCCAAGCTGGTCGGCAACATGTACAGCTGAACCGAAGCTGTTTACGGGCTTCTCGCTGACCCGCCCTACTCTGCTTCTGATTGGCCAGTAGTCCTTAACTAGGAACTGAGCATGTGCAACTCCCAACAAAGATCATTTAGAGACAAGATGTATCACTCCATAGCTAAAACAATAGAGGCAATGTTCAGTATGACAAAAATATGGTGTTTTTTGAAAATTAAACCATGTAAACCTGTTCTGGTACAACCCCTAAATAAGATTCTGAAAATGAGCAGAATAACACCTCTTTAAAGTGAGTAAATAAATCCAGAGTTGTAACCCTAACACTGGGTTGTCAGTGCGCAAGTGTAGGCGTAGCGTGTATGTGTGTAGTGGCAGAAGAGGAACACTTGCTAAAGAGACGGAGCTCCAGCTTCACTGGTGTTGTGTTGAGTTGTCCGCACCTCGTGGGACTTTCGGATAATTTATCACCGTTGATGAACCACACAAAGAATATTATTTTTAAATAGCTGGCTACTTGAAATAGACCCGCGAGGAACAGTGATGCACATGCCGTTGTTGGCA